GTGGCCCTCCTCTACACCTCGCCTCGGCTTCAGGGAAGGCCCGGGGGCCGGGGGCGGTTTCTGTAGAAGCCTCGTTCTTGTCAGCTGAGGCCCCAAGGGAACCTCCCCGAGGCCTGTTGAAGCTTTGATGCCCTGGAGAATGGCCCCAGGGTTTCAACCGTTCACACGCACACAGATGAGTGTATTGTGAGTTCTCTTTTGGGGAACACAGTTTACATCTTAACAACCAGGGGAGACGGCAGACCAGGAGGTCAGACAGGAATTTCCAGGCTAGAAGCCTGTAATGTAAACCTGCCCCCACAAGCAGACCGGCATAGACGCTGCGTGCTCCCGAGAAAGCGGCTGTGACGATAGGAGAGCACCCTTCCGAGGCCTTCGGGGGGCCGTGCAGGGAGAGGCAGGGGTGTGTCTGCTGTGCCTTCAGAGATGCCGAGCACCAGCCAGCTCTGTCCCGAGTTGGCCTCGGTTTGTTTGACTTCAAAACCTGTCTTCCCGCAGCCACAGCTGTGTTTCCCAAAGTGGATTCCATGGTGTTCCTGCTTTTCTGCCCCGAATGGGTCCTGTGTCCCTAGGCCACACCGCACACAGTTGCCTTGTTTGAGACTCACAGAGCACGTCAACTATTTTTAAAGGCCTCCTGTAAGCAAAGCGGTTTAAATCTGAATGATGGGGAAATTCGTCCCAAATTCGGGATCATAAGATCCCACCCTTTGCCTTCGCTGCTTAACACTTGTGACAAACGTCAGCACAACTGGGGCTGTGTGTCACACGCCTGGGGAAGGTCACGTTCTACCCTGTTGAGTGTGTGACGGGAGGGAGGTGGAGGGTTTCAGGAACAAGGCCTCCGGGCTGCCAGATTTCTTAACCTTGAGGGGAAGTTCCTGTGTTCACTCCGGAGAGAAGGGAGATGGCAGAAGTGGGGTGTCCAGGGCTGGTGTTCTTGTCTGGAGGGGTACGTGTACCCTTTGGGGTTCCGAAGGGAACAGGCTCCTGGACAGCGGGCCTTGGGGTCTGGAACTTTTCCGAGGGGGGCTGGATCTGGGAAGTGAGAGCAGAGCTTCTGGAAAGGTGAATCCTGCGCAGCAGGTGTTGCTGGCTCTGCTCTGTTGCTTTGTCTCTCTCGACAGCTCTTTCTGTGATCCATCTTTTTTTCCCTGTTTTATCCGCTCCTCCACCTTCTAAGACCCCCTCCTCCTTTCTAAACAAATATCTGTCCCCTCCTCGCATTAGGCATCTCCCAAGCCGTCTCTTTGTCTGTCTGTCTAACCACCCATGAAGAGGAATGAGATGTGTGCCTGCGTGTGTTTAAATGTGTATTGGACGTTTCTAAAGTTACTACAGAGAGCTTTTTGTTCCCTTTTCTTATCTTAAAAACAGCTGAACTTGGCATTTTATGTTTTTTTTCTTGTATCCACACTGAGTTATGTTTCTTATGGTTATGAGTGATCCTTGACCAATTGTATCTTATTTTTCTCCCCGGGACATGGGAGGCCTCGACAACACCCACTTTGGGCCTGGTCTGCATCTTGCCCCTGGGGACCTGGGAGCCCAGAGGGCAGGAGTGCCCGTCGGGAGCGCTCGCGGGTGTGCCCTGGCGGCCGGGTCTCCGTGGATGGCCTCTCTGACGGTGCCTGGGACTTTTGGAGGAATAGGCAAGACGGGGCGTCCGAGGAGCGCTGCTGCATGGGGAGAGATGGTTGGAGGGAAAATTATTTTTCCTTTCCCAGTAATTGTTTTGACATGAGCGGTAATTAGCCAACAGCTGACAGACCAGAACTGAAGCGAGAACAAGAGAATGGATTAGGGGACAAAGCCCCTGCGTTAGACAGCTCGCGGCTGCCCTCAGCGTGGCGGGCTGAGAGCTGGGGAGGCTGAAAGCAGGAGATAGAGCGTGGTGTATTAAGGGTCGCTTCTGAGGTGCCATGAAGGGACCAAGTCGGGGTCAGAAGGGCAGCCTCTGCCCTCGAGAGATTGGGGGCAACCTCGGTTTACAGTGATCAACACCATCAAAAGTGGCAGCTGATTCCAAAGTGGGGCCTGCTCAGTTGCAAACTTACCTGTCTCCTTGTTGGGGTCAAACTGCACTGGGGTCCGTTTTTGTTGGTGGTGGTAGACTTGAGACCAGGGTGACGCTGGCTTTGTGTTACAAACTGGGAACCTTACCTCGTGTCCCCGTGCTCTGGTGCACTTCGTGCCTGGGTATATCTTTGTTGAGAGTTTGAACGACTTTGCCCATATAACCGTCTGGGTCCAGTGCCTTTTGGAGGGAGGTCATTTTTTCAAAGGTTTCACTCGTTTTGGTGTTTCTAGTATCCTTTGAACCTATTTGATAACTTAAATCTTATGAAAGGTTTTGCATTTATTAGCATTAAAAAAATCGGTGTTGTGCTTATGTTTTCTTTCTAATTCTCAATACTGAGCATTTGTGCTTGTCTCAGTCTCAAATTAGCCTGATCTGTGTTTTTATTGTTGTGATCAACCCCCCCGCCCCCAAACACACACAGAGAACCAGCCAGGGTTGCTGAGATTATCCTGCCTGCTAACTCATTAATTCCTATTGCCATATTTATATCCCTTTCTTGTGTTTTCCTTTCATTTATTTTATTGGCTTAAATTTTTTTTTTAATTCTAAAGTCAAATGTTTAGTCCATTTATTTTTACTCCCTTGGCTTTGATAGTGAAATAATTAAGGCTATGAATTTTCCTTCAACTATATAATTCAGGCCTTATCCAATTGTTTTGATATGTTTTTCCTCATTATTTTGTAAATATTGTGTGATTATGGTTTTCAATTCTTCGACCAGAGATTGAGGGCATTTTCTTAAATTTCCAAATGTTTGGGAGTTGGGGCAATGGGGACCTTGTATATTTGATCTTTCATTATTAATATCTACTTTTATTGCTTTCTGGTCAAAGAATGTAGCTTGTGTTATTTATGTCTTTTGCAATTTATTGATATTTTATTGTGGCTTAAATATGCCCAACTTTTTCTTTTTTTTTTTTTTAATGTTCCGTGGCTTCTTGGCAAAAGATATCATCATTGTTTGTAGGATATGATGTTTAATACATTTAGTTCAATCATCCTTTTAAATTAAATTACTGAGATAGTCCACATCCTCAGTTTTGTCCAGCAATCAGCTGTGGACTGAAAGCAGCGCCTTAAGGTTTCCTCCTGCCGTCTTTAGATTCTCCAGCATTTGTGTTGTATCCATTGCAGTGCTATGCCACTTGATAAGTAAAATTTCTCGAATGTTATGCCTTCATTGTGAGTGCTATTTATCATCAGTCTAATTTCCTTCCTGGCATATCTACATTCTCCTCAGCCCCCTCAGCATTCTCCGATGCTCTTGGAATGCTGGTCCCCCCTCTTTAGCTAGAAGACATGTGGATAGTATCTGCATTTGATCAGCTGCCTGGGGGGGGTGTGAGTATAGACCAGGACTGTGGCTGGCCACATGGGGTTAATTTGTTGTTTCTAGCTGCTTCCTCAAGCCACTGCACTGGGGGCCAGCTCTGTGCCTCGGTTCCTGTTGTCTTAGTGTATCTGTGCCCACCCTTCTTCTGGAGCATTGGGCCAACCCCGAAGATCAGGGAGAAGCTGAGCTGCCCACAGGAACCTGTGGAGTGTGGTTCTGCTTGCAGGTGGCCCTGGATTTTTTGCTGCAAGTGGTGGAGAATGAGGGACATCCCCAGCATGAAAAGGGTTCTACATGGGGTGGCCTTCATCACTCCATTGCTTGTCTCCAGCACTTTCCACTCCAGATGAGTAGGTTTTAGTGACTTTGAGGCATGCTCTCCTTCGCTGCCTGCCACACTGCAGAGCTCTCTCAACAAGAGCCATGAGTGGGACATCAATTTGCGTCTTGCCCCAGCCCGACCTGCATGGTATATATGTTGCAGCCATCCCTCCAAGCCTGGGGCACGAGGAAGACAGCCTTCCCAATCTCCGGAGATCATGCAGGCATAGGGTTCAAGGTGACCGGATTCAGGAACAGAGTAGTGACCTTCCTTCTCTCCATCCCTCCCCTCTGTTGTCATGCAGTACTTTCTAATTTACAGATCCTTTTTGTAAGTGTTGTCTTGTTTGATTTTGGAGACTAGGTAGAATCATCCCCGTTTTACAGGTACAGAAGCTGAGGCTCAGTGAGGAGGCACGTAGGCTCCCGAAGTTCACATAGCTGTGTCCCTGAGCGGGCAGCACCACCTCTGGGGACTGAGTCTGCATGAGCCACCGTGTGTATCTGTGATGTCAGGAGCATGCAGCGGTGCTGGGGGCTTCAAATTGGCCACGATGGGAGTATTTATGCCACAGAAATTGGCAAATGCTACAAACCAGGGCTCCTCCATCCCTGCCACGGAAAGCAGGCTTATCGGCACACCTGAGGAGCATGAGTGAGGGTCATAAAGATGGAATTTCAGAGCCTTGAATTTTTTTTTTTTTTTAACTTTAGAAAAAGCTATGACTCAAGAAGGATATCATCTGACCACTTGGCTATTAATTGGCAAAGGCAAATTTCGTGGAAACCAGTAAAACCAGTCCTCTTTCCATTATACCCACATAGGGTGAGGGTGGAGAAGGCCCTCAGAGAGAAGGTGCTTCAGAGGAATTTCAGGAAGGCGGTGGCGGGGCCTGCTGACTCTAGAGAGACTGGACCCTTGACCAGCCCCGGTGACCACAGCTGATGCGGCATTTTTGGCCCTGGCCATTGGGCTGTAGTGACCTCGCCTCCTATGAAGCACATTTCTTTTCCTCTCCGGTTCAAAAAGCAACTTGGTCCCCCATGAGTTCAATAACTGGGTTCTGGGGATTAGAGAGATGTTCTCAACCCCTTTCCAGCTCTGCAGATACTGGTAAGATCCCAAGAGGTGCTGCCAGCCTTGCAAGACTTCTCAGAGGCAGGCCCTGAGGTGGGAGAAGGGGCTGTGTTTGCAGAAAGTTGGAGGTCCCCGCCCCCCCCCACGGCCACTGTGGCATCTGAGCAGTGTTTCTGTCCCCGCAGTGAATGGATACCACGCATCAGGGACCCCAGCGCACCCTCCCGAGACTGCCCACATGAGTGTCCGAAAATCCACCGGTGATTCCCAGGTAAGGGGTCCTGTTACGGGAGGTAGGGGGAGCTGTGTATGCAGGCCCAAGGAGAGGGGTCATTAAGACAAGGACATGACGGGAGTCCAGGTGGCTACAGCCCAGTTCTGCCCTGAGTAGAAAGTGGTTGGTATATCTGGGCCATTCCAGTGTACTGTGACTGGGGGAGGGGGCGGTTGTCACTTGTTGGTTTCTCCAGAAATCGAGGGCAGTTTGGAGTGGCTGATGGTGGTAGGATAGGAACTGTTGCTGGAGCAGGGGGCTCCATCCTGCTGTCTGGATTCCTGAGACGTAGAGTCCAGATCTTCCATCACTTTAGGAATATGGATGCAGTGGGCCATTTTCCTTTTCTACGTGCCCCTCCCCCACCCCAGACTTCACCCAGGGTGGCATTTTGTAAAATGTTTTACCGTATTTAATAATCTAGCATAGAGGCAGTGACAGGACGGGAAGAAATGGGAGTATGTTTTAAGATTCCCAGTCTGCTTTTGCATTTGTCATCTCAGCTGACGCTTGTGCAAACGCCTGTGGTATGTGTCAGTACTGGTGTTACAGGTGAGGTCACTGAGCCTCAGACTGGTTGAGTGGCTTGTTCAGGTTGACCTGATTACTAAGTGGTCAGACTGGCCCTTGATGACAAGCCCTGTGGTTCTAAGTTGCGTTAAACTTCGTCTAAGAAACTAAAGACTAGTCTTATTTATAGTCTACCTGTGGACTATCAAGAAGATGTTCTTGATGAAGCCTCGAAATTCTGCCAACCTTTTCCAGGAATTAAAATGCCAGGCCCCAAGGGTGGTGGTGATGATGATGCTGTTGCTGATAACAATAGTTGCTTGTCACCAACAACAGTGGGCACTCCGGTGCCAGTCACTGAAAGAACACCTTGCGATCTGTTACTACAGTTACTGCAGGCTACAATGTGACACTTAGCTTTAAGTGCAGCTTAAGAGTGTTAATTTTCGGAAATGTAATTAACTTGTTCTCTTAGGAGGCTGAATGTTGGGCTCAGGTTCAGGTCAGTTAAAACTCTGGGAAAGAATTTGGATGTCTGAGTGGGCCAAGCCTTCTTACCTCTGAATCACTTGAGCCTCTGGTTAAAATGCAGCTTCTGATTCAGGAGGTTTAGGGAGGGGCTGGAGGTTGTGTGTTTCCAGCCAGCCCCCAAGTAATACAAGTGCCGCTGGTCGGGGACCCCAGGGACCACACTTGAGCCTCGAGGCTCCAGGCATTGTCAGTAGTGCACAGCATGTGTGTGTCCTCTTCACGCCCCAGCTCGTGGCACACGTCGCTGCCCTGGCCTTGCGTGTTTCCTGCTGAGCCCCAAGTAGCCTTCTCAACACAGCCGCTCTCAGTCTGTTTGATTTGCCATCTGACTGGGGGTGTTTTTTTGAAGACGTCAGCTGAAGTTCTGCTGTGATATAACGTAACTGAAAAAGCTGGTGCTACCCTAGGTATTGTCAGGAAGAATATTGGACCCCCTCCCTGCCCCCAATCATTTTTCCTTCCTTTCCTAATAGAACGTGGTTCCCCCGACCCCGAAATATTATGTAGTTGTTACACAACCATTTAAAACAAAATGTATACTGATGCAACCTTCTCAGAAGCCAGTTTGACCGTGTGTACTCTAAGCCTTTGACCCAGGAATTTCCCTTCTAGCCTCTGGTCTTGGAATATGTTCAGGGATCCTGATTTATGTGTGAAGCTGTTGTTCAAGTATTATTTACAGCGGAGTAACATGGGACCCAACCTAACCATCCAGCAATAGGGGATGGGCAAAATGGACTTTGGCGCTGACCGTCCGTCCAGCCAATGATATCATGCAGCCATTAAAAAGCTGCCTTCTGAGGAAAATTTAATGACTTGGGAAAATTCTCATAACATAATATTGAGTGGGAAAAGCAGAACACAAACTGTGTACAGTCTTATTTGGGAGGAGGAAATCTATTCATATGTGATGATTAATGACTCGAAGAAAAATAAACCAGAACATCGATGGTAGTTGAGTCTGCATCTAAGACCACGGCGCTCTGTCGGGGGACATTTGGCAATGTCTGGAGACATGTGGTTGTCCCACTGGGCGGGGGTGCTACTGCATCTGGTAGGCCAGGGATGTTACTGACCATCCCACAATGCTCCGGACAGCCTGAAACAACAAAGAATTGTCCAGGTCAAAAAGGTGAATGGCGCCGAGGTTGAGAAACCTTGGTTCCAAGACCGTGAGTAATTTTTCTTTTCTTTACGCTTTCCAGTATTTTTCAAATTTAATGAAATGAACACATTTTACTTTTATAGCAGGCAGATACAATAAGCGTTATTAAAACAAGAAGGTAGATGCAAGGCACTGGTCTTGGGGATTCCGGGAAGGAGAGCTCTAGAGACCCCAGGCCTGGGCGGGCACGACCGCTTCAGGACCGGCGGAGCTGAGCATAGTCTCCTTGGATGATAATGTTGAGAGTTGAGGTGTCATCGAAGTCACAGAAATAAATAACGCAGTCTGTGGAGAGAGCAAATATGCATTTCTTCACCAGTTCCCGGAACCGTAAGGTGGAATATTATCCTGTTAGGCCGTGGAGGGATTTGTGAATCTGTGGAGCTGGCTTTCCACAAAGGTGCTGGAGGCCAGTTATAGAAATAGGTTAAGAAGGTCTCGTATTTACAGAGAGTGCTACCAACAATTGATCCCCAAAGTATCTACAGCACTCTTCAGCGGGCATAGCATTTACTCACCCTGTCCCAGGCTGTCAGTTATAATTCATGGCAATTATGACTTAGTAGTATTTGAAGAATGGATGGATGGGTGGGTGGGTGGGTCAGGTGGCTTGCTCAGGGTTTGGTCAAAAAACCCTGTTGTGTTCCTCTTTGAGCCAGCTAATCAGGGAAATTAGAATGTTGGTGGAGGTGGGGAGTACGTACCTAATCTTCATGGAAACCAGGATTGTGTCCCCACCGTGCCCCGTCATGGGAGGACCGATGGCTGGGTGCCCAGCAGCCCCTGGGGTGGCCGCCCTCTCCATTGCCCAGCCCTGGGAGACCTGGACGGCTGGGCACAGGTGGTGTGGTGATCTAGTGCCACCCAGTGGAGGTTTTCAAGTCTGCAGCCCTGGGGCGGGCTGCCTGGGTACTGGATAAATGGGGCCCACCTGATTGTGGGGCGCAGAGGGGCCGAAGGCTGACAGTCTTGCCAGCCTTTGCAGAAGCACATTCTAGCCTGTCCCCTGCCCTCCTGTCTGGGGCTGTGGTGGGAGCCCTCTGATCTCTGCCCAGGGACTGGAAGGGTAAGGGACCTGCCCACCAGCGCCCAGGCCCTTTTGTGACCCATCTTTCAGTCGTTCTGGCTTCCCATGAACTTCCCCCAGGAAGACACAGGAGAGAAGAAAGGGATTGTGACTAAGGGCTTAGAGACCTAAGGGGCCCATGGGAGAATGGAGTTTGAAGTGGACAAAGGGGTGAAATGCTGGGAGCTCATGGACTTAATGTCCCCCCACCCCCCCCACCCCCACAATTCAATAATACACTTTCTATTGAGTATCTACTTCTTGACCAGGCACTGAGTCACAGAAACAGCCCCTGCCTTGATGGGGGTTTATAGCTAATGCTGGAGAAAGACATGAGATAAATGGTTATTTTGTCCCAGCAGTGATAAGGGCTGGGGGACGTGCGTGCTATGCGGACCTGGCTGGGTGGTGGTGGAAATGTCAGTGATAGAGTCTGTAAGGAAAGAGACTTAAGCTAAGACTGGGAAGGTGAACAAGGGTTTATCTTGGCAAAGAGGTGGGGGTGGGGGGTGGGGGTAGCATTCCAGATGGAGGGAACACACATGTGGATGCTTGGAGGCAGGAAGGAGAGCAGTGATGTCAAAGAACCTGTAGAGGCCGAGTGGGGCTGTGGTTTATTAAATTAGCAGGTGTAGGGAGGCTGGAATATGAGGCTAGAGGAGTCTGCACGGGCCTCTTTGGAGGAGCTTGGGTTTTATTCTAACTGAGAAGCCATTGAGAGGTTTCATACTGGATCCCAAATGCCGAGGGGGTGGGACCAGACTGCTCACAGGGCAGGAGATGGCGGGGAGAGGACATGCACAGCGGGGCTTGCTGGATCAGTTGCAAATGACCCACTGCAGTCCACCAAGCACTGCCCTGTGCATCACTACCCTCGAGCGGTCCTCACCTCACAGTGACAGTACAGTGGCCCAGGTGGGGTTAGGAAAGCAGGCTGGGAGCGGTTTGAAAAAAGGGAAGGAGAAAAACTTTCTAGAATCATAGGCACAGGAAATTTTTTAAAAAAGCACTTTTATTATGGAGATTTGCAAATGTTTATAGAAATAGAAGGAATACTAAAATAAAGTACCATGGACCAGTCGTGTAACTTCAACAATTATTTGACCAATCTCATTTATATTCCCATTCCCAACCGCTAACCCCCGTATCCCCAACTGGGTTATTTTAAAGCAGATTCTTGACATACGGTTTTAACTATAAATGTTTCAGAATGTGTCCCTGCGGGGGAAAGCATGAGCACAGTACCATTAGCACACTTGAGAAAATATTAGTTCAATAATATCATCTGATGTAGTGTATATACACACACAGACAATGGAGTACTACTCAGCCATAAAAAAGACAAAATGGTGCCGTTTGCAACAACACGGATGGTCCTTGAGAGTATTATGCTAAGCCAAATAAGTCAGATAGAGAAAGACAATTACCGTATGATTTCACTCATATGTGGAAGGTAAACACATAGACACAGAGAGCACATTAGTGGTTACCAGATGGGAAGGGGGTGAGTGGAGGATGAAAGGGGTGAAGGGGCACATGTGTGTGGTGATGGATGGAAAGTAGACTTTTGGTCATGAACACAATGTAGTCTATACAGAAGCTGAAATATAATGTTGTACACCTGAAATTTACATAATGTTATAAACCAATGTGACCTCAATAAAATAAAATCATCTGATATATATATTATCCATATTCGTACTCTCCAATTGTCCTCAAAATACTGCTCTTCTTCCCAGTCCAGGATCTATTCAGGTTTCACACATGGACACATCAGTTGCTATATCTCTTTGGTGTCTCTCGCTCGCTCCAAATAGCTTTATTGAGATGTAGTTCTCTTAGCAGTTAATTTACCCATTTAAAGGGTACAACGCAGTGGTCATAGAGTTGTGCAACCATTGTTACATCAATTTTAGAACATTTTCATCACCCCGAAAGAATCCCCATAACCCTTAGGCAACCACTGATCTGCTTTCTGTCTGTATAGATTTGCCTGTCCTGGACAGTTCGTATGAATGGAATCACGCCATCTGTGGTCTTTTGACTCTGGCTTCTTTGACTTTAGAATAGTATTTCAAGGTCTGTCAATGTCATACGTATTAGTACTTTGGTTTTTGTGGCTAAATAATGCTCCATTGTATGGATTTGCCGTTGCCATTTCATCTCAGTTATCATTTTAGTCTCTTTAAGTCTAGACTAGATTTCTGCACTCGTTTGTTCCTTGGAGCCCAGCTCAGTTGTCTTGTAGAATGACCTCCAGTCTTGGTCTAATTGTTTGCTTGTGCTTAGACTCAGGCTCAGCAGTTTTGGCAAGAATACCACCTGGGGCCTATCCAGTGCTTCCTGCCGTGGCCCCAGGAGCCGCCCACTCCAGGCTCTCACCTGCCGCTGATGCTGAGTTTGAGCTCTGGGTTAATGTGGTGGCTACCAGACTTCTCCTTTGAGGGGGACGTTTTCCATTTTTAGTTTGTCAGTAATCTGTGGGGTAATCGGGTGAGACCATGTGCCTATCCTGTTCCCTAACAATCTTTGCACTCACCGCTTTGAGCATCTGTAATAATCACGGACTAAATTCGTTTCGACTTTGGGGTTTGCAAATGATGATTTTCTAATTCCTTGTACGTTTTTTGTTGGCATTCTTCCATAAAGAAATGCTGCCCTCTCTCTCTCCTCGCCTTTTGATGTAAATCACTTGTAGTCATTATTCACATTCATGCTCAAATTGTCCCAAATTTGGCTTGTGGGAGCCTCTTTAAGCTGGTGCCTGGGTCCTTTTGTTATATCGTGGCATTCTTTGGACACTTTCTTACCTCTCAGCACAATAAGATGTTCCAGGTCCACCTGGCATTTGGAATTGGCCATTTTGCCAAGGAACGTGAGTTCCTTTTAGCGGGCAATAGTATTTAGAAACCAGCTTCCAGCTAGTAGGTGTTCCCACCGAGACGGAGGTCTCACTCCTCCTGGGCCCTTTCAGTGTAGTGCTGTGGGGTGTGTATGTGATGCATATATATGTACATGATGCACGGATATGACATATGTTTATGTATATGACACTGGAACAATAGGCAGAGGTCAGCAGCAGCAAGTGCAGAGCCTGAGACTGCCTGGAAGAACCTGTGATCCTCTGCCCGTCCCCCCAGCTGAATCTGCACAGCTGTAGGGCAGAGATAGAGAAGGTGCTGGCACACACCCTTGGAACGTCACCCTCAATGCCATTACTTGCACTCCTGTCCTGGCCCAAGTTATAGGGAGGGGCGTGGCCTTGGGGTCCAGCTTCATTCTACAGAGCCTTGGACACAGTGGTCCCCAAATCCATATTTGTGGATGATGGAGATCTTTTTTGTCCCCTGCAGAGACACCTGGAAAACAAGAGACTGTCCCAGGTCTAAAAGTGGAGAGATGGTGGAAGCTAGAGAAAAGAGTTATTCGGGCTTGCGTTCCAATTTCCTCTGTTTATTTGCCTTGTGACCTTAGACAAATTAGTTTTTGCAAGCCTCAGTTTCAAAGTCTGTAAAATGGAGTTGATGCCACTGAACTTGCTGGGGTTGGGAGGATGGCCAATGCCTAGCCTGGTGCCTGCCTCAGAAGCAAGCACTCAGTGGCAGGGGCCCTTGCAGACTTTCCTCCCACTAGTAGTTATCCTCTTCGTCCTTCTCCTCATCACCATCACCATCAGCACCAAAATATAGATTCGAAGGCTGTTGCCAGGGCTGCTGGTGCACTGGTTGCCCTTCCTGGTGGGCTGGAGTGGGAGCACGGTGGTGCTGTGTGTCCACGACAGGGAAACTGTTACAAGCTGCAGGACCCATCCCAAAGACTCCCCTCCCCCCTCCCCCCCCTGGCATGTAGCCTCTGCATGAGTGAGCCTGTAAGAGAGCTCTGCACCTGTCTCTTCTCCTTGGAGAGGGGCACCGGGGTTCGTGCTGTGCAGCCTCTGCTTGCCTCCCTCCTGGGCGGCCCAATTTTAGCAAGTTCCCTGGGGCAGAACTGCTAGCTTGGGAGAGACCAGGGTGGGTGACCTGGATGAGTTGATGCATTAAAAACATCTGCGGAAGCTATAGTTGGTCATAAGCTTGACGTTGCCCAGAGCCTGTTGGGACTGCTGGGGCAGCTGCCTTAAGTAGGGAGCCTGATGAAATAACAGAACATAGGTCAGTGTGCCTCCAAGGGAGGTCCCCAGAGTTGGCATCAGAGGCACTGGCCCTGCCTGAGACCTTCTGGGTCACAAGCTCTGGGAAGTGCAGCTGGGACTCAGCTTTGGGCGAATTCCCCGGTTAATTCTGACACACTCCAAAGCAAGATGTCAAGGTTAGTGAGTTCATTTTCTTGCCTGTGAAATGGATGATCTAAAAGGTCCCTCGGTTTCATTAGTTGACTTTACTTACCAGCCAAAATAGGTCTAGATGGGAGCAGGGGACTGAGGTGACCATAGCAAGGACTCCGTCAAGCTCCCTTTTTGCCTGATGAGCAGATGGGTTCCTGAGGCAGGGGCTGACCCCCACCCCTGGATGTCATCCTCCCAGGTGGTCCAGGGCTGTGCTGGCCCGGGGATGGGGGCTGCTGGTTCCCTGAGACTTGCTGGAAAAGTCTTTCCATGCTTTTTCTGGGCCTTTTTTCCATGAAGTCCTGACAGCCTTACATTCCACTAGAGAAAGGATAAGGCACCAAGTCCCAGGACACACAGTGGCCACCCACAGGGCCTGAGGGGTGAGCTTGCTTCCCAGCTTGTCGTGTGGCTCAAGACAGGAGTGGACATCACATGTCCCACTCAGGGACCCTACTGAATCTGTAGTGTAACTGCTAATAGTGAGACAATAGAGACCAGAATTGATGCTCCCCTTTAGGGTCATAGGCTTTTAGGACCAGTGTGGTGTTTTCGGCTGGCGGCCCTTAATTTTCCGTGCCAGAACCATCCTGGGAGTGGGGCAAGCTGCTGAGGACCTGTGGGCTCAGAAGTACTTGGGACGATGGTTTTCTTGCCGGCAACCGGAAGACGCAAAAAGGCAATCCAAAGTCTGAATGAAAGCCGAAACACGGCTCAGCTGAAAATCCCTCCCAGCTCTCAGGGTTGGGAGAGCGGCAAGTCCTGGAGGTGGCCGAGCGCCCCAGTGCCCATTGCACACATTTAGGGTTTGATGTGTTGGACCTGGGGAATTCAGAATGAGATGTCATGTTCTGAATCCTCAGTGCCAGGAGGCGGTGGCCTGCAATCTGCCTTAACCCCCTGCTTCCGGGTGGATTCTGCAGGTTCAGGCAGCCAGCACGCGGAACCACTCACCAGCAGAGGGCAGCTGAGGGGTTAACTCCCCAGATCACAGACTGGGAGAAGAGGAGGCAGACCTGGTTTGGAGCCGTTCCCTTGGAGCCTCTGCTGGAGGGTTCCTCCAGTTTGCCTTCAAGCCGGGAGCAGCGTGGGGTCAGGATGCTCCTGCCTGCCCTCTCGCAGAGTATGGTGACATAGGAGTTAACGGCAGCCTGAGCATCCCGAACTTCCCCAGCACGGGGCTTTTAACCAATCCCTCCACCTTCAGGGAACCCGAATGAAAAAGAATGCCCAATATGGAGAACAGCTTTGATGATGTTTCTTGCCTCTCTCCCCAGAATCTGGGATCCTCGTCACCAGGCAAAAAGCAGAGCAAGGAAAACACCATCACGGTAAGTGGCTCCTATGGCGTGCTCACAGGTTGAGCGTCAAGCTGGGGCTTTTCAGCCACAGCTGGGCTGTTGCCATGGCAGTGCGGACCGCTGAGTGGAAGCGATGCCCAGCCTGGAATCGGGGAAGTTCCAAAGCTTGGATGTAGCCGAAGTTTCCCCCTGCCTCCCCCAACCCCCTTCCGTCTGTTGATTCCATATTTCACTTTTTCTCTCCGGATGGTGGTTGGGAGGATGCCGAAGCCATTTCTGCGGGGCGGGCAGGGGATGGTACAAGTACAGGAGTGGGTTGAAGGGGGTGGACTGTGCCCTGTGCAAGTGACGTGACGTGTAAATTACAGCCACGGCGGGGTTGCTTTTGTGCAGGGTAACTTCTGGAAGATGTCAAAGTTAAAAGCAAGAGAAAGCGCCCTAAGAATAGAGTTCCTGGGAGTTCCTGATGGGAAGCAGGCAGCCTCTGCCGAGTGGCCAGACCGCCTCCTGGGGCTCTTCCAAAAGCCCGCCAAGCCCCCACGTGGAGGCTAGCAGAGGCTCCCCTGCACCCGACATCTGCCCTGTGCTCGGGGAAAGTGGGCGCTGGACATGAGTGCCTCCGCCATCTAGAGAAACGAGTTGTCCATCGGCTCAGACAGCTGAGAACCTGGAGATGTGAGAAGTGTGGTCCTGGGTTTGCTATTTGGACACAAGTGCAGCCAAGCCGGGAGCGGGGCATTGCTGTCTCAGGCGCCGTCATGCACAGTTCTCAGCCGTTCTGACCACTGCCACGGAGCTGAAACCAGCAGTGGCTGTGCTCCCCTGGCTCAGGCAGGCTGAAAATCCTGCTTGGGAGGAAAAAGAGGGTCAGGCAAACAATAGCAACAGACATAACGCTGCCACCTTTGTGTGCTTTTATTATGCAAAGTAGCAAGCTGAGTGGCCCATTTAATTCTCCACTCATGGTGTGAGGTGTGGGTGAGGGCACTGATGTAGTTTGGGGATTATGAACTGGAATCTACCCAGAGTGTCAATTTCAGCACCTACTAGCTGGGCCACAGCCTGGGGCAGGTCTCTGGGTCTCAATGCCCACATCTGTGCAATGGGGAGATGGTGGGCTCTGCGCCACAGGGATGGTATAAGGACTAAATGAGTCCCTACTTGGAAACAACTTAGAGCCTGGCACATAGTGAGTGCTGGAAACACACTAGTATTCTTGTCACTCTGTTTACGGATGAGGAAACTGAGGCACAGAGCACTATCCTGCCCAAGGTCACACAGCTGGGAAGCATCAGGACTCCAGAGCTGTGCTCTTACCCTTCCCTGGTGGGAGTTGCCTCCGGAGGGCAGGGCGGCTCAGCCGTGTGGACTGAGTCTGTGCAGCCTCCTTGTTACTGGAGCTGAGGGGCCACTGGGGCAGCCCCGGGACAGACTTCCCAAGGCCACAGACGCTTATCTTCAGATTGTCTCAAAACAGCCCCAGAGTGCTGGGGCAAAGCAGAAGCTCCCAAAACTTCCCTGAAATAGGGGGAAAGAGGGAGAAGAAAGTGCAAGAGGGGGATATATTAGAATTGTAGGAGAGTGAGAAAGAGAAATGTAAAGCGAAAAGCAGAGTGTTATGCCTCCCGGACTTGCCCAAGAGGCCTTTGGTTGATGATGCCCAGGCCTGGAGGAGGGCCTGAGTCACCTGCTGTGTCCTGTCCTTCAGGCAGAGCTCAGGGCTTTGTCCCAGGGGGCTGGGCATGGGCATGGCCCAGGGTCTCCTTGGCTGCACACCTTGTCCATACCTGCCTCAGGGGCCTTCCCTCCTCCTTCCCGCTGACTCGGCGGGAAAGTTTGCATTATAACCAATATCCCCAGAGGTTTTAAATGAACACTGCAGTCTTGGGGAATTTTTGCCGGGGAAGCTGAGCAGGGGAAGGGCTAGCCAAAGGGCACAGAGTGAGTGAGGATGACCTGGGTCTGCTGGCTGCCAGCCCAGGTGACCCCACACAGCTCCAGGCTGCAGATGGGCTGAAGACGTCTGTATCGCTGCTCTTTCCCTTCCACGTAGCACTGGCTTTCCCTGGGTTCAGCCTGGGTCCTGATCCTCCAGAGCTGACAGTTTCCCAAGGAGGGGACACTGCAGGGCTGTTCAGAGGGGACGGAGGGAATCACAGCCCAGCTCCCAGGAGGTGGGGGCAGAAGCTAATGTCTCCCTGGCTTGTGGGGATGGGGTGAGCAACTTCTCGCGCTGTGTGACCCGCGGAGCAGAAATCTGCAAGCCTGGGCAGCAGAGGGTGGTGCATCCAGGTCCCAGTCTGGGTCATGGTGGGGCTGAGGGGCGAAGATGGAGCTTGATTCTGATGCTCCGGCTTCCCCACCCGGCCCAGAACACGTTTTGAAGGGCAGATACGTGAGCCTCTTGACAGCATTAGGGCCTCGGCGGGGCCGGCAATCAAGTAGGCTGCTGGATTGGGAGTGACAGGCACTCACGGCAGCTCACAGCCCTCGGCGCAAACATGATGTATCAGGGTTTAGAGGATTTCAGAAAAGATGACGACAAAGCCACCCGGCCACACTCCTCTCCTAGAAAGAGGAATTTGGGGACTCCTGTTTTCCTCAGCCTCAGCTTCTGGATGTCACCTGTCTGTGGTCCCTGGGTGGGAGCTCGTGGGCTGGAACTGAGCCCTTGGGGTCATTTCTTTTCTGCTTCCACAGACCCCAGCTCTGGCTTTTCCCCTGCCACAGCCTCCCAGACCAGCTTCTCTCCAGGAGGAAATTCGGGGTCTGCTTGGTTGTGAAACCATGTCCTCGTCTGTGCTGCAGGCGGCTGGTCAGATAGGTGGGCGAGGAGCTGTGGCCCCTGCCCTCCAGCACAGCCTCCATGCTGGGCCAGGCAGGGGCAAGGGGCAGGGGTGTGCTCAAGGCCTCCCCACGCCAGGCCCCCTGGGTGGGTCGCACTTGTGTTCAGCGGCTCTCGTGCCATGGCCAGGCGCCTTTGTTGAGTGACTACTGCTGTCCCCTCAGGCCCCCCCGGAGAGTTTGTGGGGGCGGCCCTTTTGGCTCTGGCTGCCCCTGTGTGGGATGGCCCGCCCTGGTGGAACCTGAGCTGTACAGGGGACACTCTGACTCTCGGGGGGGGGGGCGTGTGTGACTATTTATCTGAGTGTTGGAGAGAAGAATTGGTGCCAGAGCGAAGATGCCACTGCTTTAAGGATGGTGATCTCAGGGGGAGCAACAGTGGGAGTGGCTCCCAGAACTTCCCCTATTCTGTATACAATGGGAGGCGTACCCCTCTCCTGCTCCCTGTCAAGGACCCCTTCCTACATGAGCCCCTGCCTTGGACGGGGGCGTGGCATAGGTCCGTCTCAGTGTGTTGGAAAGGTAGTGTGACACAGGTTAAGTGCCTAGACCCTGGAGCCAGATCTTCTGGCTTCAGACCCTGGCTCCACTATGACACACAAGCTGGGTGATCTTGCATAAGTTATTTAACCTGTCTGTGCCTTAGTTTCCTCGTCTGTAAAATAGGGTAATAATATCCCTGCTTTACAGCATTGTTGTGAGGATTAAATGAGCTAATTCACGTAAAGTGCTTAGAACAGTGGCTGGCACATGATTAGCTCTTATTAGAGCAGAAGTGGTTCCTTAGGACCCCCTCTGTTTTGCCGGTAGAGGATGGAATTGAGGCACTTGCTGTGCCCAGGACGCCTTGGGAGGAGGACGAGCTCTGTGCCAGAGCAGCAGAGGTGGATGGGACAGGAATCCGCACGTGGAGGGTTCCAGGGGCAGAGGCCTCTCTCCCTTCTCTTCTCTCTCTGGACCTTGGAGCACTGCTGGATCGAGCCCGGGGTCATCCCAGGCTGGCTCTCTGTTTCCGGCCCCTCTGATCCAGGGACACTGAGCCTTGCCTTTGAGGCCTGTGGTCATAGAAGCACAGGGCAGTCATAAGAGTGGTGGCCCAGGAATTAGGAACTAGGATCCCAACCCTGCCCGGCCACTTTTTAGCTGTGTAATAGTGGGCAAGGGACTTCATTTCTCCATGCCTCAGTTTCCTCATCTGGGCATGATCCTGCACTATAGGTTGCTACAAATAAACATTTCAGCTCTGATTGCTTCCCAGATATTAGCACACCCCACAGCTCTCACCACCCCCTCCACTGCCTCCCTCTCCCCGGAATCGTCTGTTCTTCCCACCCCTAGTTTCTCGTTTCAGGGAACGGAAACAGTCCTGTCCACGCAGGCCAGTCCACTCAGGGCTTTGGCACTCCGGACATTTCCCGTTGGAGAGCTCTTGGTTCTGGGGGGTTGTCCTGTGCCGCGTGGGATGTTTTCCAGCATCCCTGGCCCCTACCCACCCAATGCCAGTAGCAACCCTGCCCCCAAGTTGTAACAATCAAAAATGTCTCCACATTGCCAGGTGTTGGGGGGGATGGAGGGAGCAAAGTCACCCTGGTGGACACTCACTGAGTTAACATCACAGTGCTGTGAAGTCTGTCTGTAAAGTGCCCCGTGTTCTCCTCCTCATCCTCTTTACTGCACTGCTCTGGGCTGCCATCGCATCTCCTGTCACTGTGGAGCCTCCCCCCGGGGTCGGGGTCGTGGTCCGCATTCTCCCTCTGGTGCTCCAGTGCGGCTGCGCTGCAGGGGGCTCGCCCCAGAGCAGCCCACACACGGCACTCCCCTGCCAAACGCTCCCCCGTCTCCGCGCCCCTCCAGCCTCAGTGCCCCCGGATTCTGAGCCCCAGCCTCACAGAGCAGCTTGTTCCCCAGCCATGGGGGGCATCCTCAGACCTGGGCCTGTCCCCCTGCAGCACTGGTCACCTGTCACCTTCCCCCCGCCCCGCCCCCGCCTCAATCCTCCTCTTACTACCTGAATGTCACTCCCTCTGAGATTCCTCCCCTGAGTCCCTGGCCCTTCCCATAGCCTGTACGCCATGCTTACCCCAGCCGTAGATTCATCCCAAAGTATTGCCGTTACTTGTTTACTGGTTTGCCTTCCTCACAATGCTATAACCCCGGGAGGGCAGAGGTTATACCTTGTCTTTAGCCTCCAGTTGTTGCCCCGACAAACCTGTACTGAGCACCCATCAGGCACCCATGCTGTGCCGGGTACCAGGGAAACAGCAGGACAAGGTGGTCTGCCTCCCCTCATGGAGCAGACGGGCTGGCGAGGAAGAGAGATGCTCAGTAAACAATCAGGAGACATATAATTGCAATCGTGTGTGTGCAGAGTGCTGGGGAATCTAGAGCTGTGTTGCCGTGGAAAGTGGACGAGCAAGTGTTCTGTTGACCAGCATCGTGGTTGGGGGCTTGAGTTCTGCCCTCAGCCCAGGCTGGAGTCAAATACTTAACTTCTGTGGTCCTCGGTCCCCTCGTATAAAATGAGGCCAATGTCACGTGGCTCATGCGGTTGCTGGGAAGATGAAGTGAGAATGCGTGCAACGCTCTTGGCAGGGTGCCCAAGGAAGTGCTCCCCAGGAATTTGAGTCATTGCAGCTGCCTCCCACGAGGGGCTGGCCAGGTGCAGTTCTCGAGATGCCCCCCAGGGTGTGCAGGGCTCTGTGAGGATTTGGGGAAATCCCTGTGGGAGGGCTGAGAAATCCTAAAACCAGAGTTGACAGAGGCGAGGACAGGCACCCTGGGACCCCTGGCCAGTCCATCCAAGGACTGATGTCCCCACAAAGTCGCAGAAGCCACAAGAGAGATGAGGCCTTATCCTCCCGTCCCCTCTCCTCCAACCCAGCTAGCTCTCCTTCAGTGGGAGTTCCAGGGCCTTCTAGACCCAGACAGGGCCCTTGAGAAGACATTTACACCCCCTTCAGAGTGGGTGTAAGGCCTCCAGCCCCCTAGTTCCAGGATTCTTAATGCCCAGTGTAATGGCATAGTGAATTTATCATTAAATTTGGTTGAAATTATGGACTACCTTATTAAGCAAAATAAAGATGGACTGTGACCACCATTGTTTGTTGAAACAAGGATAGCCAGAACACGGAATGAGCAATATGTGAAACTGTGGAATCCATCCCGTGTTTCCATGATGTTCGCAAGTAAGGCCCACACGACAATGGTCATCAAAGCCCTAGAAGGAGCCTCATCTCTGCACACACCTTGGGGTGTTAGCCTGAAAAGAGGGTTTGGGGAGACCGTTGGCTGATGCTGGACGTTGAAGGCTCGTCTCCCCCTGAGCAGGCTCCTGAAGGCCAGTGGCACCTTGACCTGGAGGAATTCGGTGTCCAGTGTTCTCTGGTCCTTCCTACCGTGTCATGCTTCCTTCCAGAGGGAGAGTCTCCGCCCTCACGTCAGCCAGATGTCAGTATCCAGGAGGAGGGATCTCCCTCCTTGGCTCAGACTTCTCCTGTCCTCTCCTCCCAGGACTGCAAGCCAGGCCCATGCCCCTGGCAGCCGCCCTTGAGTCCCTGAACCAGAGGTCACGGCTGGGGCCCCATGAGCCTGACTCAGCTGGCAGAGGAGATGATTACACAGTGTGGTTCTTGGTATTATTATTAACTTTGAATTAATTGCCAACATGTAAAAATTGAGACACGACATAAAAATCCCAATTTCCAGCTTCTCTCAAGTCATCATGTAAGCTGACAACCTGCACTCCTCATCCTGGTTTGACCACAGTTGGCGGGAGCTGGGAGAAATCTGTCTCTTAGACCTCCACAGCCCCCACCCCTTCCCGAGGCCGAGGCTTCTCACCCCCAGCCCAAGCTGCACTTCTGTGACATGTGGCTCCGCGTTTGAGTGGCTGCCTGGCACTGGAATCCAGCACCTGGGGGGTTTCTGCCCTGCTCGCACCTCACACATCTGACGGCTCCCACTTCACACGCTGGGGCTGCAGTGAGGGGTTCAAGGCCGACAGCACCCCAAGTCTCCGCACCTCCCACAAAGAGCACGGATTAGGCGGCTCCTGATCTGGGCTTGAAGCACTGTCAGCAGGAGCAGCAAAGCCACTTCTGCCAGGACACAAAGTGAGGGGCGCCGCAAATGTGCTTGGGTGGAAAAGTCCGAGACAGATTCCAGAGACACTGCCCTCTCCTGGGCTGGGGCCAGCCCCCGGCGTGCACCCTGATGATCACTTAAACTCCCTTTGTTCATCGAGCATCATGAACATACACGAATATCATGCATATCTTGAGATACGCTTCACAAGGTAGCCTCCCACCTCGACCCTCAGCCACATACCTCCTTTCCCAGAAGCAAATGATGTTGCCAGCTTCCAGAAGTATCTTGTACAGTCATAAGTTGCTTAACGACGGGGATACGTTCTGAGAAATGTGTTGTTGGGTGATTTCGTCGTTGTGCGAACATCATAGAGTGTGCTTACACAGACCTACATGGTAGAGCCTACTACACACCAAGGCTCTCTGGTACCCATCTTATGGGTCCACCATCGTATATGAGGTCTGTCATTATGTGGTGCATGATTGTACATAAATAACCAAATGTGTATCTGTCCTCCCCCTTTTTTGTACACTAACGGTAGCACGCAGTGAATACTATTCTACATCTTGCTCTCCGCCCCCAACAGTATATCCTGGCACACCTTCCTTATCGATACATGAGGACTTTGTCGCTGTGTCTTTCACCATGGGTACGAGTCCCACAGATGCCTGTCTGTCGTGCTTTTTTAACCATCCCCTGCTGATGGACGGTGGAGGTGTGTTCCAGTCTTTTGCTACTACAAAGAGTGCTATGGTGAAAAACCACGTCCGTCCATCACTGCGCATGTGCAAATGTATCTGTGGGATGGACTTTTCAAAGTGCAGCTGCTGGCTGGAAGGCTCTAGACATTTGAGATTTTGATAGATCCTGTTCCACTGCCCTCCAGAGAGTTTGTACTGGTTCCAGCCCCTCTGGGGTGGGTGTGCCTGCTGGTTGCCCCTCATCTGAAATGCCGGCTGCTGGAGCATCCCAAGATCCCAGTGCATGTTTGCTCTGTCAAGCTGGCCCTAAAGGGAGGCCTCTTTAGTGCTGTGTCTTGGGAACAGAGCCTTCCCAGCTTCTCCCAATCCTCCAGCAAGCTAATTTTCTTTCTTGTTCTGTGCCCTACAGATAAACTGTGTGACGTTCCCTCACCCAGACACGATGCCGGAGCAGCAGCTACTGAAACCAACCGAGTGGAGCTACTGCGACTATTTCTGGGTAAGTGGTGCCTCCGTTTCCCCCACACCGTGGCTCCGAGGACCAGGAGTGGATACTCTGGAGGGGCAGGAGAGGCCTTGGGCTCTGAGCAGAGGGCTTCTCCTATTGAAGCCCCTAAAGGGCTGGCTGTCGGTTTAGCATCTGAGGCAGGAACTCTAAGACCCTCTTGGACTCCAAATCATTCCGTAAATCTCAGAGAATCAGTGGGGTTTTCATTCGTGGCACTATGGAAACCCCCACCAGAATGTGAGTAAGCTGAGGGGTCACTTTCTTTGCTGCTCAGTGAAGACAGGAAACCAGAATCAATTTCACTAAAAGAATCTGGGTGCCAGACCTGCCCTGGTCACTCTTGTAGGTGACCTTGGACGAGTGCTTCACTTGTCCCCTTGGATGGCCTCACTGTTTCCATCAAAGTCAGGAGATTTTTCATGAGGATGTGTAGGGAGCTCCAGCTTTAATAATTCCGTGGTTCTGGAACTTTTGCATATTGTTTAATGGGTCCAGAGTTTCAGTTTTGTAAGATAAAAACAAGTTCTGGAGATGGATGGTGGTGAGGGTTGCACAACAATGTGAATGTGCTTGACGCCGCTGAACTGTACACTTAAAAATGGTTAAGATGGTAAATTATGTATATTTTTCCACGATTAAATATCTTTTGAAAAATGTAGAGTTCTACTGCTCAGAACCTCTGGGGACAGTCCTGGATATTTGCATTTTAAAGTGAGTAATGACTTTCAAAATGAGATCACCCCATTCTGGGGTCAGATAGTGGTGATGGCTGCCCAACCTCGTGAATATATTAAAAACCATTGAATGGTAAACTTAAAAAAAACTTTGCAAACACCCTGAGGAACAATAAACAAATTAAAAACTTTTTTTTTCACACCACGCAGAATGGATTATCTATCCTTTTTTAGATTTGCTAACCGAGTACTAGACAAAAGTGCTTTTTTCTTTCTACCAAATCACGGTGCTTTAGGAGATACCCGGTGATTCCTGTTGCCGCCTCCATAGGGGTAGCTCCTCTTGCCCCGGCTGTGTCTCTTCCAGGTCTTCTGCGATCTGTGCAGAGGCAGCGAACGCTATAAAAAGGGCCCTGGCTTTGGTGTCACACAGCCCTGGGAGAGGGCGGTGAGCTCAGAGGCGATGGTGAGCGGGGGTCAGGAGGCCCCGTAGCGCATTCATTTTGTTCTATCTGTAGTACGAAGGTGTCGGAGGGTTTTAAGCAGGAATATGATGGGATCTGGTTTATGTGTGTCATGCAGGGAGGAGACACTAGGAGCAGGCAGGAGTGAAAGTAGCAGGTGGATGTGGGAGGGCAGGAAAGATGGTGGCTCTTTCCCAGACGGAGAGAAATAGCTGGCTTTGGAGAGGTCGTCCCTAGAGAGGGGCACAGGACATGGAGCGTTCAAGGGTGAGTAGCTTGAGCCCTGGGATGGGCACCCTGGGGAGCTGGGAGTCAGCATGTGGGGTATCGGGTGGGGGTGTCAGGGAGCCGAGGGGAGCGTGTGGTCCTGCGCTGGTCAGCAGCATCCAAGAGAGCGACACTTGTGAGTTCCCATCTTAATTCAAGCTCCCCTGGGACTCTGATACTTACTCTAGTGTTTATCTCCCCGACCTTCAAGGCCGTTTCTGCTAATAGAAATCTCTCTGCTGATACAGTCTTTAAGCCCTTTTCTTCTGGCTGGTTTTCCCTGGTGTGGACAAATCACTCAGCATTTCCATCCCGTGTGGGAGGCAGATTGGGACTCAGTATTTTGGCTAATTTTTCTTTTGCTTTTTTATCAAGATGTAGTAGTCATACGATGAAATGCACAAATCTTAAATGTCCTTGGAGAAACTTTAAATGCCCGGAGCAGCCCCACTGTGACACAGTGCGCCCCATGGGGTGGTGACCTCCTTGTCACAAGGGGTATTACTGTGTGGCTCAGAGGGCCTCGGGTCGGGGCAGCCTGGGAAGGGATTTCACATTGGGAGGAAACGGGGATATGGCCGTAAAACCATTCATCTACTGGACAATGAAAAGTAGGGTTCCTTCCAGGCATCACCAACCCCTCTCCATTCCCCTCTCCTAAAATGTCTGTTCTGGAAAGGATCTTAGGCTTGCAACCGGCTCCTGTTTCAAGGTCAGGGGGTGGGGGGTGGGCATAGCCTAGTACTAGAAGGACCTGACTATGCCGCCCACTGGCTGAGTGGAGACGAGGACCTGGGCCTTCCTGGGTCCTGGGACAGGGTTCTCATGCATGCACCTGTCTGTGATGTCAAAGGATGTACTTTTTACTCCTTCCCTTAAGTATCAAAGCGTCTGACTCTGGGGTCCTGGTGGGAAAGGCCGCAATGGAGGAGGATGGTGTTGGGCTGGTGCCCTCCCGGGGCTGAGGAGGCTCTGAGGGTTGTTCTCCAGCAGCCACGGTTGTGTGGGCAGACGCTGGGGCAAATGTCCTGCAGGGAAGGCTGCGTTAGGGGGTGCCAGGCAGGAGGTGGGGCAGGGGGCGAGCAGGAAGGAGGTATTCAGGCGTCCTGGAGGAAGTGCAGGCAAAACAAACAAAAAGCATTTAATTTTTTTTTTCCCTTTAAAAAAATTTTTTTTATTACTTTTTTAAAAATTAGCACTTATTACTATTATACTTTGAGCTGCTGAAACATTTCTTGATATTTTAAGTTTGTGCTTCATAGAGATATCTATTACTTCGAAATTAACTAGTTCACATATTTTCTAGCTTATAATGATTCCAACTTGCTGGGTCCTCTCGGTCATTGGGATTGACTTTGTAGAATTTATCAGTTCTTGATTTTCTCTCGTCAGTGTTTCTCTACATTCTTCAATTAATTCTTCAATTTGCTCCTCAAAAACATCTTAGGAGCCATCACCACCTACTCATCTAGTGTTTCATATCTTTGCCAATAGCCCAGAAATACTGAAAAATCATCACACATTTTTTCTTTACGTCTAACTATATAAATGCCCCTCTTTGTCTCTAGTAATGAAAAAGCATTTAATTTTTGAAATTTTAAGAGTATTTGCTTATGAAATGGATTGGGTACTAAGTTCCCATTTCATTGACTTGGCCATCTTCCCTGGGTCCTGACTTCTGTTTAAAAGTAGCTAAGAAGGGCTTCCGTTCTTTGAGTAGTTAGCATACGCTGAGCACAGTGCTAAGCTGTTTCCGTAAGTCATGTATCCAGAAATGACCGTGTAAGGTGGGCCCTTATTTCCCCAGGTCTACAGATGACGCAGCTTGGCCCTGGACTGAGTGACAAACTTGCTTGAGGTCCCCAGCTGGGATGCCACCCTGGGCAGCCTGCCCTTTTCCACTCTGTCTTCCCTTCAATCCAGTGTCTCCCCAGAATCCACTCTGATCTTCTGCTGTACATTGGAGGACATCACTGCCCAACCAAGGACAAGAGATGGGATGGCTTAGGGTTAGGGGCACCTGCCCCCAAGGTCGCAGACTGTCCCAGCTTAGAGTCAGGATGCCAAGACTACCCAGGGGTCCAGCCAGCCTCAGCAGCCATCCCGTGAAAGTAACAGGCCGCCAGGCCTCAGACCCTGTGCCCCTGCCTCTTGCCCTTCTCCCCCTTCTTTGCCAGGTTGGGAGGCTGAGGAGCATGGAGGTGGGGTGGCAGCAGCTGTAAGGGCTTACGCGTCGGAGAGCACACGGGAGCAGGGGCACCAGGAGAGACAGGTCAGGGCAGTGAGGTCTGCCGCTCCCTTCCTCCCTCTCCAGCTGAAGTTGGGGCCGCCAGGTGCATCTGGGTCCCCTCTAGGGTCCGACTTCCCTACACACCATTCCACCCGGCTATGGACACCGATGTCACCTCAACTCTCATGCTTCTGTTTCCTTTCTAGGCTGATAAGAAGGACCCCCAAGGCAATGGCACTGTGGCTGGGTTTGAACTGCTGCTTCAGAAACAGCTGAAGGGCAAACAGATGCAGAAGGAAATGTCCGAATTCATCCGGGAAAGGTAAGGCCCAGGCCCTCCCAGCTCGGGGACTGGCGACAGCGCCCACCTGGACCCTGTAGCCAGAGGGCAGTGAGCACTGGGCTTGGTTAGCGCTAGGGGGAGCCTCATGGCCCTTGGGACAGATCTGGCCAGCAAATGTGTTGCTTTGGCCTGTGTTGTGTTTTTAAATATTTGAGCCAACCTTTTTCTTTTTTTTAAACTGGCAGGTTTTACATTAAAATCTGGATATCTAGCATCACTTGAGAAAGCAGAAAGTCTGGCAGTGGCTCCGCATCCCTCCCTCATGCAACAATTGGCTGGAGCTGAGTAGCAGCTGCCCTTGTAGAGGGAGCATCTGTTTCCAGTTTGCCACAGTCCCCACCACTCCCTGCTGTGTCCCCCACACAGACTGCTTGGCTCCTTTGCTTACCTACATGGCCCTCATTTGAAGCACTGGTATCATAATGAAAAAGGAGACTGTTACCTTTCAGTCCATCTTTGAGCCAGAACTGTGTCCTGGGCCTGGGCATGCAGAAACCACCCACCCTCCCATCCCTGCCTGCAGGGAGATTGGTGTAATGCGAGAGTCAGAGGGGGTCATTATGATACGCGCAGGGATTATAATAGTGGTTTGTCTGAACAGAGATGAGAAAACAGTAAATCGATCCCAATGGAAACAGGAGAAGCTACAAAGAGAATTCCCTTCTCCGTCTTCTTCCTTCTCCAGTCTCTCCGAGTTCTGGGCATGTGAAGCACACTCACATCCCACACGCTGTGCACCCGCCACGTGTACACACACGCACACACAGCTTCCCAGCCAGCCTGTCCAGGGCACACTGGAAATATTTATAGTAAATGGCTATATATTTTTAAAATATTTCTTTTTTAATTATAACAATAATCAAGTAATAATTCTTGGCATCTTAAAGCACCGCTTTTGTTTAGGAGGCCCGTTTCCTATGTGTATAATCAGATCTTTATTTTATGACCCATTAAACTGGCGGGAAATTGAGAGGTTGCGTAGCTCAGGTGCGAGAAACTGTCATTAAAACAGGAGACTAGGAAAATGGTGGTAAAAGCTGAAGACTGAACACACTTGTGGGTTCTCTGTTCATGGAAACGTTATGTGGGAATCTGCCACCTGAGGACACTGGTCTTCCCTGGGCAGTGTGGACGCCTGCAGCTTCTCTCCATCTCCCGGGATCTTGCAGGGAGGGCCGCACAGGGCGGGGAACGTGCTGGGCCGGGACATGTCCGGGGTTTGCCGTGGCATCATCCTGGGCGAGTTGGAGGTGGAGGTGATGCAGGGCTGGCTCTGGAGGTGATGCTTAGGAGCAGGTGATGCGTGCCTGGAGCATGCAGCTGGCGATGAGGAGCCTTTGGAGGTTTGAAGCTAAGAGTATGACCTGCTTAGATTGCTTTCTGGAGAGATCTCTTGGCCACAGTCTGGAGGCTGCAGGCTGGCCGTCCATGTCATCCTGGGGAGGGCGGCACTGAAGGCAGAGTGAGTGGAGAGGAAGCCACAGAGGCAGGAGAGAGACGGGCGAGGACCTGGGGATGGGCCAGGGGGTGGTGAGAGCACAGCAGTGAACGGACACCAAGACTGCGGGTGTCACCACGCCACACCATGAACTAGCGATTCCTCAGAATGCTGTGGAGGACTTGGCCTGGCTGCCCTCTCTCCATCAGTGCACCCTTTGGTCCTCAGCTTCCGTGCGGGCAGGAAGCAAATGCTGCAGCCCTGGGAGCATCGCTGGGGCCTTGCTGTTTGCCGAGTGATGGATCAGGGGTGCTCTGAGACCCCAGCCCTCTGTCCAGCTGATGTTGTCACAAGCACAGCTCCTCTGTGTCCCACGGGGCCCAGAGGAAGGCTTAGACAGTGAACACTACCTTTGACAACACATTTAACACATATGTGCCTGATAACACACAACACTTCCCAGAGAGCTGCCTGGAAACTGTGTCAGGGGTCTGCGTGCTGGAAGCGACATACAAGACCACGTCCCTCTCCCAGGAAATGGAATCAGCTGCCGCTGGGGGTGCTTCCTGGTTTCCATGGAAATACTTGTGCCCTGCAGGCTTGACAATTAGAGACATCGGGGGCTGGGAGACGGGAGGGAGAGGTTCTATTCATGCTTCCTAGGGGCTAACGCCACCTTGGAGGGTGTAAACCCAGAGCTCGGGGGCTGGAAGGGAGAGGGGACAGCACTGGGCATCCCTGTGGTCCATGCAAGTGACATTCATCACCTGCCCAGCACTGTGCTTGGAGCTGTGCAAATGACAGCGCCTCATCTTCACAACCTAGGAGACAGGTGGGACCATCCCATTTTGAAGTGAGGTGACGGAGTTTCAGACAATTTTGTTCATTCATTCAATCAACAGATATTTATTAAGCACCTCCTGTGTGTCAGGCGGACAGACAATAGCCACGTACTCTCAGGCCTTGTGGTCTAGTGGGTTCCTTTACAGAGTTAATAAACGGCAGGGCTGCACGTCAGACCCTCTGTCTAGCACTGGGGGGCTGACGTGTTGGGTTCTCTCCCTTTGCAGGATAAAGATTGAAGAGGAATATGCGAAGAACTTAGCTAAGCTCTCTCAGAACTCCTTGGCTGCACAGGAGGAGGGGTGAGTGGGGAGGACAGTGATGGGGGCGGGGAGGAAGAGGGGACCTTCAGGAAAGCGGGTCCCTTTTCACCCGTCACTGCTCCTTGGCATGCTCCCGTTTGGCCGGGGAAGGCTCCAAAGGCCTGGCTCAAGCTGGGCACCCATGACTTCAGGCATGGGCATCCGTGCTCAGGGTTGGCATGTCCACATTATCTTCTCTGGCAGATGCTGGAGTATGTCAGGACCCCCTCTGGCCTGTCCCCTGGTAGCTGGGCATCAGACCCCAGACGCCTACCTCTGCTTCCCTTTCTCTGAGGGTGGACTGGCAGGAAACTGTGTGTGGGAAGGTTCTGCACCTGGCCCCTTGTCTAGAATTCTCTCCTGTGGGCCCGAGGCCCAGGCTCCCCTCCCACTCCAGCTGTGACAGTCCAGACCTCCTTGGATGGGACCTGGGCTGAGGGAGGCTCAGCTTCCCTCCCAGCCACAGAAGGATCCCTAGTAGATGGAAGACTGTGGCCCTCTCTGCTCCATCTGTTAACAAGGATTTCATCCTACTGGTGGGAATGCAAAATGGTGCGGCCACCGTGGAAAACAGTTTGGCAATGCCTCAAAAAACTGAACATGGAATTACCATATGACCCAGCAATTCTACTGCTGGGTTTATATCCAAAGAATTGAAAACAGATTCAAACAAATACATGTAGATGTGTGTTCATGGCAGCATGATTCACAGCAGTCAACAGGTGGAAACAACCCAAAAATCCATCATGGGATGAATGGATAAACAAGTTGTGGGATATACACATTGGAATACATGGATGTGTGATGGAATATTATTGAGCCCTAAAGAGGGATAGAGTATGCATAGAGTGGTGCCTTAAACAGCAGAAATTTAAGTTATCATAGTTCTGGAGGCTGGAAGTCCAAGATCAAGGTGCCAGCAGGGTTGGTGTCTGGTGAGAGCTCTCCTCTTGTATTGCAGGCAGCCGTTTTCTTGCTGTGGCCTTTCCTCAGTGAGGAGAGAAAGTGAGCTCTTCATGTCTCTTCTTATAAGGACACAAATCCTATCGGATCAGGGCCCCACCCTTAGGACCTCATTTAACCTTGATTATTTCCTTAGAGGCCCCATCTCCAAATACAGCCACACTGGGCGGGGGGGCCTGCGTTAGGGCTTCACCCTATGCATTTGGGGGCACACAAACATTCAGTCCATAACAGGTGATAAAAACGTTTCAGAACTAGATAGAGGTGATGGTTGCATAACATGGTGACTGTGCTAAATGCCACTGGATTGTTCTCGTTAAAATGGTTAATTTTATGTCATGTGAATTTCACCTCAATAATAAAAGGAATAAAGATGCAGGAGGTTAGAGTTGAAAGGTCCCCCGAGGTCCTCCTTCGAGTCCAGCAGCCTCCGTTTGAATCCTTCCTCAGGGAGAACGTGCGCCGGAGCAAGGAAGACCGTCTATCGTGGGATGGTGGTGGTTGTCACAGAGCCGTGATGCTGAATGTGTCCAAACCTGCCAGCGTGGCTTGGAAGTCCTTCAGGGGGATGGGCTCTGCCACCTGGCTGTGGTTTGATGAAGGCCTCCGCGTGGGCTCGCTGTGCAGCCAAGAGGCCCCCTCTGAATGGCTTTCACCCGCCCAGCTGGCCACAGGCACAGGCAGCCCTGCAGGGCCAGTGCCTCTTCCAGGGACGTAAGCGAGGCTGGCTCTGGCCCCTTTCTGCCTGTGCACTGGGCCTGAGACAGGGCTGGAGGACGTGGGGGAGCCAGTTTCCGGGCTGCCGAGGGGGCTTTCCCGAGTGTCCCCGTGCCCTGCACCACTATGTCGCTCCAGAGCCTTCCGGCTTCCACCTCCTCGGCCTGGGCTGCTGCCAAGGACACTCCGTCCTGCCAGCACGCATGGGCATATCCTCCCAGCTGTACAAGTCAGGCCTGCACCAACACGCCCTGCACACAGGCACCTACAAACACGGGCAACCCAGCACATGCTCATGTACATGCATTGACGCCGCTCACCTGCCACACGGGTGCGAACACACCCCCCATCTCCGCTATGTGGTCACACCCAATGCACCCTCCTTCCAGTAGGCACCATGGGGTGGGGGTTTGAGTATGTGGGCCCCCTCCTCACCATGTGCAGCGACGCTGCTTTGCATGTATGCACAATTTGGACATTAGCCCAGTCCACCTCAAACCTTTCAAAGGGTAGTGCTGGAGCCTAGAGATTGGGGCCGTATAGGGAGAACCTGATGGGGACGCTTGAGCTGGCTTTTCCAACTTGAGCGCTGTGTTCACAATAGATTCCGAAGGATATGTGCACACTGGTAATAGGTTATTTATTCTGCCTTCGGTTTTTCTCTCCTGTGTGGAAAGGAAATGGGATTTTGGCCTTTTCTGGTTGGTAATCGTGACAGTAACATCCATTTTGATTTCTGCATGCCTCAGGATGTGTATTGGAACAGAAATATATTTCTGGTCATATTTTCTTCATTAACCTCTTCTTAGATGAAAAATCTCTCTTCAAATGAGAGAATTTCTAAATTGCTTTTTTCTAAACAATTGCGAAGTGCCTCCGAGGGGCTGGAATCCTGGGGCAGGGGAGGTGCGCATGGGGGATGTCTTAGCTCGCACAGGCCCCTCTGAGTGGAGTGACGGTCTCCCCCTGTGGATGCCCCGCCTGGAGGTGGGGCTGAGGACACTGAGCATGCAACTGCTTTTTCCTCTCCTCCCAGGAGCCCTCAGATGACATTCTCAGGCACTGCAGCCGTCCCTGGGCCAGTTCCTGACCACACGTTCTGCTCACAGTAGGCTGACAAACTCAGCACCACCCAGGGCCTTTTTGGCTTCCGGGCTCTTGTTTGTACCTCGCGCAGTTGCACGTGTAGCTCAGCTGCAGGAGCAAACCCCTCTCCATGGCCCGTTAATCAAGTTCCCACTCCTCCTGGCGCTGCTTCTGTAAGCTCTGCGTAGTGTTGGCGTTCGCTTCAGATCTGTCATCCATCTTGGGATAATCTGTGTGCGAGGCAGGAGGGCAGGACCCAGCTTCCTTTTTTCCCTGTGGGTGTACAGTGGGCTCCGCACCATTTGTTGAAAAGACCATCTGTCCCCATTCAGATAATTGGCACCTTTGTTTCATATCAGTCACCCACAAACTCACATCTGAGTGAGTCTGTTTCTGGACCTGGTATTCTGTCCCCGTGTCTCTGAGACCACCATGACCACCTCCACCCCCGCCTCCCCCCACCGTGGACTTCCTACCTGTCTGCCGAATCAGGAGGGCAGCCAGGCCACCCCAAGCTGCCCCTGCACAGCTCCCTGGAGCTCTGGCCCTTCAGGCCCAGACAAATGTCCCCAGCTTGGATTGCCCCTGTTCTCACTCCATCTCTTCCCTGGTGGGCTTCCCAGCCAGGATCACCCAAGGGGACCGTTGTTTGCTACCCGACCCCTAGATAAAACCAGTCAGTCATTTCCCATGAGCACTCCCCTCACCCTGAGCCAACACCACAACCAGACAGGCCTGGACTGTGGTCAGAGGGGACCCTCCTTTTCTGTTGGTGATTCTCAGTTGCTAGCTGCTCCGCACAACGTCCGGAAGCCTCGCAGCGTGCTGTCTTTTCATCACCTTTGCCACTTGAGATTAATGAATTCTCTGGGGGAAGTGGCTTCTTGATGAAATTAAATCAACTGAACATCCAGCCTGGGCTTGTTGGCTGGGTGGAGAGGTCTCGAGCCAGGACACAGCAGTGTCATTTGGAAGGTTGGTGAGCTTAAAGAGTTGCAAATGATGGGGAATGTAGCACGGGGGCCTACATTCGAGTCTCGGGGACTTCAGGCGATTGTTCTGTTGGAAGCACCTCCTTGGAGTGGAAAAGCTATTTAGCGAAGAGGACTCTGCCGTTCTCCGGGAGGCTGTAGGCTGCCCTGGGGCTCATGGTCCAGAATCAGTACTGGTGGGAGCCACGCTCCTGAGGATGGTGACAGAGAGCCTTCTCTGCTGTGTGGGCATCCCTAAGAGGTCCCGGGACTCAGGTGGCCCATCTTTGCCCTTCTTGGAAGTCAGACCACCGGAGGTTTGCCTACAGGCAGGGCCGTGTGGTACCTTCTGTCTGGGAAGGGCTTCTCCCCAAAAAGGCATCTGTTCTCCTTCCTTGATTTGCCAGCAGGTGTTTGCACGCCCCCGCTCCATCAGCAAACAACGAGGGGTGATGGGAAGGGCTGGGGACAGCGATGGGCCAGGTAGCAAGGCCCTCACTGCAGCTGCACCCTGCCTTCCTCTCGCATCTCCCCCGGGTCTCTGGGTCTCCAGGTGTTGCCCCAGCTACTTGACTGCTGCAGTCTGTTCTCCCAGCTCCAGAGACCCTCAGCTTGGTTGGGATGGCTCCCCTGGCCCCACAGGTGAAGCGTGGTACCCACGTTTGTTTTGGGCCCGGGCCCTGCCTCATCCAAGTTCACAGTCTCAGGTGTTAGATGCTTCCCCAGGCCTCGGGGTCGAGACCCACCGCCCCACCTCAGGAAGGGCTGTGGGCTCCGCCCTCTGTGAGTCTCACAGTCTTCTTGGTGTTGCAGCTCCCTGGGAGAAGCGTGGGCGCAGGTGAAGAAGAGCCTTGCGGACGAGGCAGAAGTTCACCTCAAGTTCTCGGCCAAGGTGAGCCCTCGCTGCGCCTCTCCGGGCTGGTCTTGCCCCGCTCTGTGCCTCCGAGCATTTGACAGCTCTCTTCAGAGCGTGGTGTCAGCCAGGTTCCGAGGTATAAGTTTTGAGAGTCGGGAAGGGGTACGTAATGGTGCGCCACTGGGTGGTATTTCCACCAAACCGAAACAAGAGCATCGGTAACGAGAACTATCCACTGAAACATGGATAGTAGGAACGTGCTGCTAGGAAGTGATGAGTGCCGAGTGTTTATTACCTTTGTTTTTAATATAATTTGCTAATTTTAAGTTTAGATCATTTAATGTTTAATACTGGCCGTCTTTAACAACCAGCTCACAGAATTCCTACAAATTGGGCATTTGGCTCTGCTGAGCCAGTGCAAGCTGCCCCAGCATAGCTCTGGGGAACCCAAGTGGTGAAACCCCACTGTCGCTTTGCTGGTCTTTCAAACGGGCGTATTGGCGTTTTCTACTTCTTGGGGTCTAGAGACTAGACTGTGCCAAAGGGGAACTTTCTGGTTTTGTTTGTTGTTGTTACACAGTTCCAGACTGGCTTTCATTCAGTTCTGAAGACTCTAGCTCTGTGACCTTGAGGACAGTGATGTTTCTGTCCTGTTCACTCTGCCCTCAGTACCCAGGGTGGTGCCTGGTACACAGTAGACATTCAATTAATGTTTTCTCAAGTAGTGAATCAGCGAGGCCCTCTCATTATCTCCTCCTGACCCCCCAGTCTTTTCAGTCCTATTTTCTCTCTGATTTCTCTTTGTTTCCCGGTGACCCTCTCTTTCCCACCCCCTGGCTTGTATCTCCATATTCCTTCTCAGGCTCTCCACTACTTTTCAGGGAAAAACTAAAGCAAGTGGCTGACTGAGATAATTCACACTAAAGTGTGCATGACTGGCTGGGCTACCCATTAGCATACTTCCCTTTTGAAGGAGGAGAGGCCCTTGAGAGTGGCACCATTCCCAGTGACCTTTGCCTACAGGGGTCCACACTCTTCCCTCTGCCCTCCCACCATCCCTAGTCAGACATGGCAGCCCAAGAGGACACTTGCACGAGGTGCATAAACTCTCTGAGCCCCCATTTTAAAATTGGGGGCACACTGCCTCCTTTACTGCTCGAAAGTAGCATCCACCCCTAAAGATGGCTGTTCCTTCCCAGGGCTCCCACATTCAGCACTCATGGGTCCTGTCTCTTTTCTGCTGTTTTCCCCACAGCACTTGTGCTTCTGGGCTTTGGGGTCCCCATGGGATGTGCACTGCTGGAGGACAGGTCTCCCCTCCCCACCCCATGATGGTTCCCTGCACGTCGAGGGCAGAATGAATGACTCAGATGGCTGAGACATGTGACGCAGCTTTATAAAGAGCTGAGGTGGGAGGAAAAAGCAGTGCTGTTCCCAGCTGCCCGCTCCTAGAGAATGTTAGTGCCCCAAGAGTGATGTGACACCTAGATGTGAGTGAGAATTCCTGGGCTGGTGATGGCACATTAACCTCATACCCCAAGCGCTCCACAGGAAAATTGCCACTCAAGCCCTGGGAGAGAAGGGAGCTCTTTGCTGCCTTGCATACTAAGTAGCAAGTTATTTTTAAGCTGCAGGTCATGGGTGGTGTTCCGTCTAGGTCCCCCTTCTATCCCAGCCCCGCGGAGTGCCGTTCACCACGTGGCAGAAACCTCCATTGACGGGTGAGATGAAGCGGAAGGCTGCCGCTGTGCTGGGAGCCGGCTCCGGGAGCTTCCGAAAAGCCACCAGCTGGATCCTGGACTGCCTGGTGGCACTTACTCCCCATCAGTAGGACCCCGGTTCTCGACTCTTTACAGAGTACTCAGCAGGTGACAACACGCTCTCCGAGGCGCTGTGTCCCTTTTACTACGGCTCACTCGCACCACTGCTTCCAATGCGAGATGTTTGGGGTTTCTCCACAGCCGCCACTTCTCCTGTACCAGCCGGGCGTCCTACAATCTCATTCAATTCTGATGCTAACTACCTGGAGATAGTGTCTGTCAGATCCCACAGGTGAAGGGCTCAGCCCCCCAAGACTGCCCCCACTTCAGATGCCAGTTCCAAGTAGAGAGTCCCCAAGTTACCCACACTTCTGTCTGACTTGGCTGCAAGTCAGGGGTTCCGTAACCCACCCACTTCTCAGGTTTGATAATTTGCTAGAATGGCTCCCAGAACTCAGGGAAACAGCTAGGTTTACTGATTTATTATATATTCAAGGGCGTGATAAAGGCTACAGATGAACAGTCAGATGAAGAGAAAGACAGGACGAATTCTGGAAGGATCCTGAGTCCAGAAGCTTCTGACCCCTTGGAGTTGGGGTGCACCATCCTCCTGGCACATGGATGTGTCACCAACCTGGGAGCTTTCTGAACCCCTAATTTACAGATTTTTATGGAGGTTTTATCAGGTAGACATAATCAACTATTAACTCAGTCTCCAGGCCCTCTGCCCTCCCCAGAGGTTGGGGGATGGGGCTGAAAGTTCCAAGCTTCTAATTGTGGCTTGGTCTTTCTGGTGACCAGCCCCTATCCTGAAGCCATCCAGGAGCCACCAGGAGTCACCTCATAAGAACAAAAGACGCTCCTAGCGCCTTTGTTGCTTAGGAAATTACAAAGGTTTTAGGAGCTCTCGCCAGGAGCTAAGGACAAAGACCAAAATAGATATTTGTTATTATATCACAGCATACAGTGATGTTGGTGTTCTAGATAGTTGTGCACAGGATTTAACTCATCTCTATTGATTTTATCAACCACCGTGCAAGACAGCATCTCCGTTTCACAAATGAGAAGGAACAGAGAAGTCAAATCGCCGCCCATGGTCACACAGCATGTGGGTTCAGCTACTGAGGAAGCAAAGAAGACTGAGCGAATTGGAGACCTGGCCTCCAGACCTTTTCTCAGGGCAGACCAGCGGAGCACTCTGCCCTCCCTTCAGGGCTGCCGGGGTGGTGCAGGCTGGCCTTCCAAGAGCCCGGGACGTTTTAAGTCAGGTGACGACTAGACAGGGCTGACTTCACCATTCAGCTGATGAGAGGTGTATGAAGAATGTTCGCACAAAACTGACTTTTCTCTGAGAACCTGTGCTGCTTCCCACCTGTCAGGGTTGGTGGCCTCGGGCAGTCGTCCTGGCGGCCCAGTGGTTGAATGGCAAGTCCTTGAAAGCACAGAGGCTCCCAAGGATTTATTCGTCTTCCCTGGATAGTATGGCTCCACATGCGCAAAACCCACTTGAACGCCTGCTCCAAAAGGCTCATTGAAATTCTACTCTGAATGTTCTGTGTCAGGGGCAAGAGCTCTTTAAAAAATGCAATTTTGTTATGGCAACCTTTCAAGCTTTTCTGGTCTACTAGCTCAAGCCATTGTTAATAGCATCGGGCCGTTAAAGAAATAAGATTGCTCTGTACAGAGAAAGTTAGACCTGCCTCCAGCTGAAGAAGGGAGACCAGAAGAGTTCCTTCTTATGGGGGAAAGTCTCATCGTGCAATAAGAGGCCATGCATCCAGTCAGAAGACTTGGGGGGGACAGTGGGAGTCAGGAAACTTGAGTTTCATGTCATCTGTCACTAAGAAGCTTTGTGACCTTGGGCAAGTCACTTAGCATCTCTGAGCTTCCATTTTTTCTGTGTGAAAGGAAGAGTTAGGACCGGATCAGTGACTTGAAACTCCTTTGTGACCCACAGTAATACATTTTACGTGGGCCCCCAGAGCACGAGCTATCCACACCCAGGTGTCCACCCGCAGATACGTAGACAGCCGAAACACACGTTTCACGAAACAGTACTTATCCTTCTGCCTGAAATGCACTCGTTCTGGTATTGTCTATCCATGCCCGGTCTCTTCTCTTCAAAAAGCTGGTCCTCACCCACTAAACTGGTTTCACAACTCTTAGCAGCAACCCACCGTTTAAAAAACACTGGAGCAGAGAGTCCCTGAGGTTCCTTCCAACTTGGGATTTCTCTCATCCTCTTCTGCTGTGTGCGGTGGAAGGAGGAGGCGGCTCAGGGAGCGGGAGTTCTGGAGAGGCTCCAACAGCCAGTCCCATCCAGGACGGGCCAGCTCGAGAGCTCAGGAGATCCAGCTTCTGGGAAGGACTTCTGACTCTCGGTTCAACAAAGATGCTTCAGAGTCAAGAATGAGTGTAAAAAGACACCGGCCAATGCTTTTGTAGGAAAAATTATCTCTCTTAAAAATATGTAGGAGCCGGCCCCATGGCCGAGTGGTTAAGTTCATGAGCTCCACTTTGGCAGCCCAGGGTTCACTGGTTCGGATCCTGGGCACAGACCTAAACACTGTTCATCAAACCATGCTGGGGCTGCATCCCACATAGAAGAACTAGAATGATTGATAACTATCTACTGGGGCTTTGGGGAGAAAAAAGCAATTTTAAACATAGAGGGAGAATCCATGGGTTTTTGTCTATGGGATGGAGTCACGTCTGACAGCTAGTAGCATTATGTTTCCAGAATGTCATTTGGAATTTGGGGAAAGCATTTGGGTGCATTGGCAGGTTCTTGGGCTCTTCCCCAGACCACAGAGCCTGGGTCCAGGGCCCAAGAATCCTGGATGTTCAAAAGCCCCTCCAGGTCACTCCTGGGCACATGGAAGCCTGGAAATCACTGACTTTCCAGGCCCTCAGAGAGAGACCCCAGAGTTACTGAGTCAACAGGCTGAGTAACCCTCATAGACCCCCGAATCAGGCAGCTAAGTTATGCACGTCCTCCTCCTCCCCCTCCCCTCCCCCCTCCCCTCCTCCCCCTCCTCCCCCCCTCCTCTCCTCCCCCTCCTCTTCCCTCCCCCTCCCCCCCCTCCCCCTCCCCTCCTCCTCCCCCTCCCCCTCCTCCCCCTCCTCCCCCTCCTCCTCTCCCCCCCCTCCCCCCCCTCCTCCCCCTCCCCTCCTCCCCTCCCCCCCTCCCCCTCCTCCTCCCCCTCCCCTCCTCTCTGCTCCTCCTCCCCTCCTCCCACCTCCTTCTCCCCCTCCTGCCCCTCCTCCTCTCTCCTCTTTCCTCTTCTCCCTTTCTCCCCCTCCTCCTTTCTCCTCCCCCCCCCCCCCCCCCCCCCCGCTGCAAATGCTAGATCTACGTGGGAGTGGGGTTTTCATGTTGGCAGCTCTCAAGTTTTAGCATCTTACAAACTGCCATCAGATGGGGGTGTTTTCCTATACGAGGAGACTTCCCGGGCTCAAAAAAATAATAGACATTTACAACTGACAGGAGGAGGAAAGGGGCGTTTGGGTGGCCCACTGTCTGTTAATCTTTGAGGGTGGTCCCACAACAAAACCCTCGTCTATCACCCAGGGCATGGGGCCCTGAAGATCGTGTGTTCTTCCAAGTAGTGAAGGGGCACTGACTCCGCACCAGCTCCGCCTGGACGCTGTGGACACAGCAGTGGCCAAGCCCACATGGCCCCTGCCCTCGTAGAGCTCACTGTCCTGTGTCGCCGGTGGTTTAGAACTAGGAACACTGAAGTCCTCGAGGTCCTCAGAGAAACAGATAATGTAGCAGGTGCCTGGTGAGGAGGAAGAGGAGAGAAATCCCAGAATCTCAGAGTGGGATGTCACTGTCCAGGGAAATTCAGCTCGGCTTCCCAGAGGTGCTTCCTGGCCAGGAGGCCGAGGGACCCTGCAAGGCCGTGTTGGTGGGGTCCTGGAAGGCCAAGTTGGAGGAGTGGAGCTCACCTGCCTTTGACCACAGCAGGTCCACGTTTAATCTGTTTTCTTATCAGATGCATCTCATGTTCTCCGACTCCCAAAAAAGTGTAGTGAAAGTTCTCCTTTGAAAGGGAGTCGAGTGGGAAAGAGCGAAGGAATAGAAGAGAAGGGGAAAGCTGGAAAACCCCGCACCCCCCAGCTCCTCTCAGGGCATAGACTCTTTCTCCGCCCTCCCTCGGAGTCCGAGGCGGGTCTCCTGGGGGTGGGAGGTGTGCCAGGTTCCACGCAGACAGTGAGGTGAGCTCCCCCGCTGGGCACAGCTCAGGAGAGGGGCCCTGGGAGTCCCCACCGGACCTGGGGGGCTTCCCGCCATGGATTCCTGGAGCTTTGGGCCATGCCTAGACCGTCTCTGTAGTCTCAGCACCTGGCGCATAGCAGATGGTCAGTCAACAGAACTGAACTGAGACCACCCAATTAAATGGCATCCACACGGCCGTCCCTGTGCTAAGTGCCAGGGGACACAGAGATGGTGGCTTGGTTTCTGCCCCCAGAAAGCTCCCAGTTTGGAAAGTAAGGGAGACAGACAGCCGAGCAAAGCCCTACAAAAAGCTGTGGCAGCTGAGCGGAGGGAGATAGGCAACAAGAGACTCAGAAAGTTCTAGATCCCAACCCGTCCATCTGTCGATGTGAATGCTGGGACCTCCAGCTAAGGTGAGCCCAGACTGCCACCTGATGAGCAGCCGCTCGTCTCTAACCCTCTTGTAGACCAGCCAGGCCACTGCCCCAGGCCCTGTGTCACCTGCTGGGGTTGGGGGGAGTGTCCGTCTCTCTCCTTCAGTTACTTGCAGCTGATGCCCAAGGGTCCTGAGCGTGTGTCCCCCCCTCTCCTCTACAGCTTCACAGTGAGGTAGAGAAGCCCCTAATGAACTTCCGGGAGAACTTCAAGAAAGACATGAAGAAGTGCGACCACCACATCGCTGACCTCCGCAAGCAGCTCGCCAGCCGCTACGCTGCAGTGGAGAAGGTGAGGGGCCCAGGCCTCCGGGCCGGGGTGGGAGGTGGGGGCCTGCTGTGGGAGGATGGGCTGGGGACCACCGGGGGCTCTGAGTGCCAGGGCCGAGGCCTTTGTCCCCACTGTGGCAGGATGGCGGGTGGGGAATGCAAACCTTGAGCCCAAGCTGGAGAGCCCCCGCCCCCAGCCAAAGGGCAGGTAAGAGCTGCTCCCCAGTGGGGCTCGCATCACTGGGAGCAAGAGAGGCTGCATCTGCCATGGGAGACGTAGCGGGGCCCCAAAGGGCACGTGAGACAGGGTACGCCCTGCTTTTGTGGGACCTGGAGCCTGGACGTGCTCCTGGTCCGCACCCTTTGGGCCTCACCTGGCAGATTCCCTCTTGATAGTCTCCCTGCCCAGAGGCCACAGTGTTCTGACCTCAGAAGTCTGACCCTAGTGGGAGCTGCTGATGGCCAGCCCTGGAGTGGAAGAGAGCTCTCCCTGGGGCTGGGCTGACTCCAGGGCCGTAGGGACGAGTGCAGGACACTTAACTGCTGCAGGCACCAAAGGGCCTGTCCTGGCCCAGAGGGGGTAGCTGGTGCTGCCGTCTGCTAAGCACTGCTGGGAGTGACGTAGATGACCTTTGTGGGCCCTTCCACCCCAGAGAGGCTGTGGTTTTAGGACTGCCTGGGTCCCCAGTATGTGTCCACACTCCAGTGAAAGCGTGGTCTGAGAGGCTTGCTCTGGGCCGAGTCGGGATGCAGTTGAAAGAGATGGGGCTGAGAATACGTGTGGCAGCCTCTGCACAGTTCCTAACTGGCTGGGTGGTGGTTAGTCACTAGTCTGGCTGCTTGGCCTCTCAGAGCCACTGGGGCATCACTTACAAAAGGACAAAAAAGAAAGGACTCTTCCTAGAAAAGGGGAGGGTGGGCCACATGACCCGTGGGACCCACCTGGGTCTGTGCCCCGTGACCGGCTTCTCCATGTCCTTGGACCCCAGGCCCGGAAAGCCCTCACAGAGCGGCAGAGAGACCTGGAGATGAAGACCCAGCAGCTGGAGATCAAGCTGAGCAACAAGACGGAGGAGGACATCAAGAAAGCACGGAGGAAGTCCACGCAGGCCGGTGAGTGTGGGGCCAGCGTCCAGCTGCCCCTCGCAGTCTTCACTTGGTCACGGAGGCACAAAAGGAGAGGCTGGGACATGGGGTGCCCGGGAAGGTGCATCCCACAGGATGAGGCTGGGAGGTGGGCGCTGTGGAGTAGGGAGCAGGCCAGGCTGTTTCCAGGCCACGGCCGGGGACTGGGCTCCTTGTGCTCCCCCAGAAGGGCTCTTTGTTGCCCAAACCCTGGCTCTCTGAGCAGGAGGTGGACTAACTCCCCCATGCACGCAGGATTCTGGGGTCCTATCCCTGCGTGGAGTCCACAGGACAAGTGCAAAGTCCTGCCCACTCATGTCGTCCCATCTCCCCAGCAGTGACCTTCCAAAGGTTCACCCATGGTGGCGGGCTTCTGCCCCGGGAACAGAGGCCGACATTTTGTTTAATGAAATAAACACATTTCAGATTCTCTCTGAAAGATTCCCCCAGTGAGTTGGTTTCTGCTTCCACCTAGCGGTCAATATTAGCTAATGCACAAGGAAGGGGACCGGTAAAAGCTTATTAACTATCTTTAAAAAGCCAGTTTCACTGCGTGCGAGGACAATGCGTGTGGCTTTCTGGTGTTAGAATGTGTGCTGTAGGATGAGGGTTTGGATTAGATGGTCTCTAGGTCCCTTTCACCTCAGTTTCTGGTGAACCTGCTACAATTAATTCATTATAAAATGAAGCAGCTACCCAGTGGACATTTTGAAATAAGGTGGTATAAACATGTCAGTAACAAAATAATATAATAGAAACATAGCATTTTATATAAAGATCTTATAATGCACAGTAGTAAATTATTGGTTCTAGAAATAGAAGGCATAATATGCTTATTGGAGTAAGAAGGAGACCCCAGAGGAGAGGCATATTTAAATTAGTTTAATTTATTAACTTATTAAAAAGTAAAATTATATTGCAAAACCAATATCACTACTTGGCAAAAAATTTTAATCAGCGCATAAGAATATAAAATCTTATTCAACAGGTATAATCACCATCAACACTTGGTGTTTTAATTTTTAAAAATGTTTTTTAATAACTGTAATTAAATTTATGCACATTAGATCATGTTATACTCTATGTTCTGAACTTATGTTCTAACTGATCCATCTTAGAAATAGCCCTGTTCTGTCACCTATGCGTTGATTTATCCATCCATTCAGTAAGTCCCCTGTGACTTTTTTTCTGTGAACTGATTAATTCTCCATTTTCTTGTCGAGTGGCTGGTCTTGTTCTTACTGACTGATTGAAAGGGATTATTTATAAGTTAGGAAAATTAACCTTTTGTCATCTGAATTGCAAATATTTTTCCTATGTTGTGTTTTATCTTTTAATTTTGTTCTATTTTTTCCTTTTCTTCTTCTTTTGGCTTCTTTTGTTATTTTTTTGTTTAATGGTCTTTTCTTGTGTGAGTTCTAGAGAAGAACTTCCTAAAACTTAGAAACACTTTCCCTTTTTCAAGATTTTTTTTTTAATCACTTTTTTTCCCTTATTTCCTTTTGGCTTCAGGGGTTTTTTAAAGATATTTGGTCCACCAGACCTTTATTTTTCCTTACACCACTGCTTTACCCATATTCCACATGTACTGATTTGCAGTGTGTTCATTTCTCCCATATTCTAGATATTTTGCTGTTTGTGTTTTGATTTCATCTTTGGGCCAAATTTAAAAGAAAATCTTTAAGTTTTCACGAGCCAGGCTCTGTTACTGTTGTTTTCTCCTCTTGCTATTTGTGTCTGGTTTCATTGTGTTGTCATCAGGTGACACAGTCTCTTGTCCCCACAGTTTGGAATTGTTTTGTGCTGACAGTGACTAGTCCTCAGATGTAAAAATTCTACCTTTTTGAGCCGTCTCGGTGTATCAGGCACCAGGCCACATGCCTTCGAGCATTCTCTCTTTAATCCCCCAGTCCTGCCACAGGGAGATATTTTTATAGCCTTTTACAAGTGACGAAACTGATGACAAACAGGATGAGGAACTTTCCCAAAACTGACGGTTATGGAGCACCTGGTCCAGAATTCTCTCTTCTCTTGTTCCAAAGGCTTGGCTTGCCATCCTTTGGTTGGACAGGCTGTTACCCAGAAAATGTCAGCTCTTCTTTCCTCTGCTCCCTTCCCTTCCTGTCCCTCATCTTTTCCAAGCCTACTGGAAGGGTGCGCATCTGGGTCCTCAGGGGGCTTGACTTCATTTTGCCATCCTCATCATCATCACGTAGCTCATGTTAATGTGCTGACTCTGTGCCAGTGTGCATTCTAAGCACTTTACATATGTCGACCTCTCTGATCTTCACCATGACTCTGTGAAGGTACCATTATTGTCCCCATTTTACAGATGAGGAAACTGAGGCACAGGCAGGTTAATTGACTCGTCCAAGATTGCACGGCTAGTACACAGTGGCGCTGGTATGACAACCCTGGTGTTCTGGTTCCAGAATCCGTGTCTTTAAGCTGTACTGTTCAGAAGGGTCTGATTTCAAACCCTTGGGCTCCATGGAGAGAAGACACACTCTTCCTTCTCCTACCCTGTTTCCTGACGTTGCAGAAATTCTTGAAGCATTTTCTCAAAATCGTGATTGACCCATACAGCTTTGGGAATTTCATATTGTACGTTTATGGGGCAACATGCTGACCCCATCCTCGGTCAGGGCCAGGCTCCTGGTGGGAATGCATTTGCAATGAAATATCCACGCTCTTTCTTCTAGTTCAGTCCTCCTTGGAATCAAGGGCCTCGTCATTGGCCTTGGACAAGAGCAAAATGAACAACGCCCTTGATTTGGGTTCTGTTACTCAAGGCTCATCTCCCAGGCAGCATTGTGGTTCCCCAGGGAGGGGTTACTGACTGAGCTGGGCTCTGGGTCAGGTGGACATACCTCTCCCCGTTTTCTTGCTCTTTCATGTTGGAATACACACGAGCAAGGTGATGATGTTACAGGAATAACTTTGAATCTACTTGAATTGCTAGATCTGGAGAATAAATCAAGTTGGCTTTGGTTGGCTCGTGCATCTTCCCCACTGTGATGCTTTCCTCTCTGGAACCGTAACGATCAGGACGCTGCATGTAGACTAAGCCATGCGCTCAAGTGGGGCTTCTCCGACTGTGGTGTGCACGTGGGTCCCCTGAGGATCTTGTGAAAATGCGGTTTCTGATTCACTGGGTCTCGGGCGTGTCCTGAGAGCTGCATTTCTAGCAAGCTCCCAGGGCATGCTGCTGCTGCTGCAGGAGCTGTGTTTTGTGTAGCAAGATTCTCAGATGCTGGTACCTTAGGAATATTGGCAATTACTTAACAGTTTGTTTTCTTTCTAATTACAAAATATTTCAAACGTATATATGATTACAGAAAATAATATACTAGCCATCAAGATTGAGTAATTATGTTTGTTTCAGATCTCTCTCTCATGAAATAAAATGCTACAGAAAGCTCATTCCCTCCCACTCATCCTTTCTCAGTTGCCCAAGGTCACCGCTATCCTGGAATTGGTGCGTAGCGCTCCAGTGCATGTTTTCATGCCGCTACTGCACATGAATGGGCCATAAACCACCAGGCACGTTATTTTGTTTTTCAGAATGATATCTGCACGTGTACACGCACACACACACACAGGTGTGACTTGCAAGCTTCTCTTCTTTAACTAGTACCAAGTTGCTCGTGACACATTTTCACCAAGCAGGACTCTCCAATGGAAATGAAACTGCCATCTTTAGAGGGGGAAGCATTTTCTGGGCTTATGCTAGGGCTGGGGTTCCTAGGAGTACCCCCCCTGCACACACACACACACACCCATCCATCCTGAATTCTCGGTGTCTGGAGTCAAGTTCAGATGGACGCTCTGAAGCTCGTCTCTTGTGGTGCTGGGTTGCCCCCTTCCTTTGCTCTGTCCCCCATTTCCAATGGTCTCCGTGGTCCCAGGGAGAGGAGAGGGCATGGCTGTGGGACACAGGTGGGAGAAGGCAGCCATGGCGAGGACAGGATGGAGTGTGAATGGTGGTGTTGGCCTTTTCCAGGAGATGACCTTATGCGCTGTGTGGACCTCTACAACCAGGCCCAGTCCAAGTGGTTTGAAGAGATGGTGACCACCACATTGGTGAGTGACCGGAGATGTGTAAGCGTGTCAATACAGGGACGGACTGGTGCTCAGGAAGCCCTGGGTCGATGCTGGCGGGCACAGGGGTGATGTAATGGGAGTGACTGTAGACATGGTCATTAGATCTGCTCTAGTGTTGGAGTCAAGACCTCCACTCTGGGCCAATCTCTGGATTCAAATCCTTGCTCTGGCTCTTCCTAGCTGTGTGAGCATGGGCAAGGGTCGGGTCTTGGTATATCCTCCTTGGCTGTCCCCTGCAAGTCAAAGTCAACTGAGGATGCACCTAGCTAAGTAGACAGTGGGCCCTTTAGGGCAAATAACCAAGTTGTAGGGAGCATGACCCTCCCCACCCCCAAAAGAGTTATGGGTCCTTGATAGGAGATCCATGCAAGGCATATAAATGGGTGAGGCCGGGGGAACTGCGTAGGAGGAATGGAGGGGAGGCCTCTGACCAAGAGGCATGGGGAATAGGCATCAGACCTTTTTTTTGCCTTCCTGAGTATTTCTTTTGAAGGGGCAGCATCTCCTTGTCTGTCAGCACCCACCTGAGTGGGACAGTGAAGTTGGGTTGACACTTGGGCCACTAGGCCAGATGATGAAGGAAGCATCATGCCAGAATCGTCCCACTGCCTGAAGCCATCCCTGTCCGTCTGGCACAGGACTAACCCTTTGCCTTCCCAGGTGTCAGCCCACCAGAGCAGATTAGAGGCCTCCCCCAGGGGCGGTGACCTAGTTTTCCTCCTGGTTAATCTCCTAATTAAGCCCCCTGCTTACCGCCCTCCCTGGTTAATCACCTGGGCGGTGACCTAGTTGTGCACAGAATAACAGCCTGATCTCCTCAATTCCCAAGATGCAGAACCACCTAGAAACTAAAGGAGAGACCCTGTCCTCTCTTCCCGTTGACTGTGACCACCTTTCTCCCAGCCCCTTGCCTCTCCTGGCCTGGTCCATCCCACAGCGCTAGGGGTGCACAGAGGAGACCAGGCTGCTCAGCAGAGGCCCAGGGAAAAAGCCCCAGAAGTTTAGGCACGGAAGCTCCTGTGCGTGTCCCATTTCTCCACCCCGTCAGGGAACTGGGGCTGGGGCTGCACAGGTGCAGAATCATGATTAAGAGCATGACAGACCTTGGTTCAAATCCTGCTCCTCCCATAATTCTGTGTTGCTTTGGACAAGTGACATTAACTCTCTGGGTGTTAATTCCGTTGCTTGGAAAATGCACATAAAGACAGAACCTATCTCTTGAAATTATCATGAGGACAATTAAGTAATGCGTATAAAGCTCTTAGCACCCACCGCGCCCGGCAGAGGAGGATTCAGGAAATAACGGCTGTATCATCACCACCTTCATCTTCACCCCCAGATAAGGTCGAGTTCAGACCCCGGAGGGTCAGGTGGGATCCAGGATAAGCAGGTGGCGACTTGTGTTTTATGTATCGAGTGGTCTGGGACCTGGGTGGTGGGAAGGTCCCCAGGTTGAGGGCACACGCTCAGAGGTCTCTGGTCTTTTCCTCCTCTGCAGGAGCTGGAGCGGCTGGAGGTGGAGAGGGTAGAGATGATCCGGCAACATCTGTGTCAGTACACACAGCTGCGGCACGAGACGGACATGTTCAACCAAAGCGTGAGTTCCTGCCCTTGGGCCAAGGCCAGCGGGGCTCCTGGGGGACCCGGGGCCAAGGGAGAGCCGAGGGTGCTGTGCTGTGGCAGGTTAAGTGGCCACTGCAAATGAGTGTGCCCTGAAGGTGGGCCGTGGGCAGGTGCTCGGGCCTGTGGGTGTCCCTTGGGATCAATTTGTAGATTATCCTGGATGGCCACGTGGATCCATCCCAACCTCATGAAACAAATATGCACGAGAGCTGTTACCCTGAAGGTGGAGAAGCTCATGACAGTTAAAATAGCTAAAGACATTATTGCCTCCCCTAGTAAATTTCTTACCAAAAGAAAAAATTCTAGAAATAGTCAAACTATCTAAAGCTAAGGTTTCATTTGACCTGTTCTCAGATGGTAAACTTGGGGACAGATGGAGGAAGAGGTCACAGACCTTGAGCCTTTGAGGCCACCCTGCCCTTTCATCCAGCCCTGAGGTCTGGAGGGGAAAGTGCACCCGGTGAGGAGAGGGTGCACCCTGAGGACCGGGACGAGAGTTCCGGGCTCCCTACTGTCACAGCTGTCTGCACATCCCTCACATGGGCCTCCCTGGGGCCACAGCCCTCTAGAGAGGCTGCTCTGACAGGTGCAGAGGTACGAGCAGCATGGCTCAGCGGAAACGTCCCTGGCTCAGCTGCCACCTCTGACGGTGTCCCCTCTTTCTGTCCCTTGCAGACAGTCGAGCCTGTGGACCAACTGCTTCGAAAAGTGGACCCAGCCAAAGACAGGGAGCTGTGGGTCAGAGAGCACAAGACGGGCAACATCCGCCCCGTGGACATGGAGATCTAGACGGGCACGTGCAGCCCGGGGGTCCTGCCGAGGAGAGGGGCTGGGGGTCCCATGGAGAGGCGGTGGCGGCTCCTGCCGTGGGGCCTGCTGCCAGGTGGAGCTGCCCTCCCACCCGCTCTCCTGGTCTACAGAGGAAAGGGGAGAGTGTGGGCCACAGCTGGTGATTCCAGAAGGGCGGCCGGCACTGCCCCGCTGGGAGCCCCCCTGTGTTCCCAGCCCAAGAAGACAGATCCACGGCCCTGCCCTTGTCTCTGAGGCCAAAGCCCCCAACTCCCGTGCTGTGCTTGCCACTCCGAGAACAAACTGAGGCTGGAACTTTGTGGTCCCTGCTGAGCACCATGGGATCGCCTCCCCATCCAGAGCCAGCTGTGTCACACGCTTGTGCCCCTGGAGGCCCCACGGCCCTTCCTCCAGCTGGCCCCCTTGTCTCCAGGGCTTTGGAGGGTCAGGGGAAGGAGGTCTCTGTCTCCAAGCCGAGTGTCAGGATCAGATTGTGGATAGAAGGCATTGTTCAGCTCAACAAGCCCGCACCCAGAACCCTTTGCGGCCCTCTGTCTTTATGTTCCCCGTTGCATTCTGGGAGCCCACATCCTGGCCCTTCTCTGTCACTTTTCATCATTGGGAGTCTTGGGAAGGCGGCCTGGCTCCTGTCTTCCCAGACTGGCCCTGCCTGGAGAGGTCGGGATGGAACTACCTCATTCAGCAGATTTGCCCCGAGCCAGAGCGTTGAATTGCGGTTCCCAGTAGATCAGGCATCTTCTGTAAAGTCTCCTCTCTGGAAATCCCAGTCTCCCCAACCCTCAGCCGCTTCTGCAGGAAAGCCGTCTCCTCCCACCCCCACCCCCTTTGGGCTCTTCATGGCGCTGGGTCAGTCCCATGGAGAGATGGGTTGTGGCAAGTCTTTGTCATCCCGCAGGTGGCTCCACCTGCTTGTGCAGGGGATGATTGACACCCCTGTCCCTTGTACGGCTTCCTTGCACTGGTGGGCACCGTACAGGCCTCGCAGACTCCCATGGCCACAGTAGGTTGTCGGCTTCCAGGCAGTGTCGCGCCACCTTGGCCTCTCAGCTCCTTCTGCACGTTCTAGAGCCCTGCGTGGAGCCCCTGTTTGGTGCTGGTCCCACCTTCCCCTTCCTCCATCTCCTGATTCCTGGGAAAGCCTGGTCTGAGCATGTGACTTGGGAGTTTCAGCACTGCCATCGGGTCCTCGCTCATCACTTTCTTCCTTTATGGGACCACAGCAAACATGTTCTCCACCATGTTGAGTCTTAAGAATCAGCTCAAGGGGACCAGAAGAAGACAAGGACCCTGAAGGAGCTCACACAGCTAGCAGAGGGCAGATTCTAGCCCAGAACCCACGCCCTGAAAATCCGTCTTTGTTAGTTAATCTTTCCCATTGATTACTTTGGCTTTACAAGACCCATACGTCTCCCACGAGGGTAGAGTTCTAAGAGCACAACTCACTGGTCTTTCTCTCAGCCTTACATGCTGGGCACTGATGACTTATTAGTTTTGAATCTTTGGGTACCTCTTTCGTTGAGTCAGAATTGCTCTGTCGTAGTTTATGGTAGAAAGATGCCCATGATCCTACAGCAAACCAAACTTTGTCACTTTTCTCTCCTTATTGAAACATCCCAACCAAAAAGGTCACTGTGAAGGCCCTCACCAACACGAAGGCCATCAGGATGGATCTGTCCCTGGCACAGAGAACTACCCCGTCTGGATCTGTGGTTAAGCCATGACACCAGCTACCGATTTTAGGATATTATTTCTTGGTTTCTTTATTAAAAATGGGTGCTAGTAGTAACTGCTTTGTGGCTTAGTAAACTAATTCGTGGATGATTTTCAAACATTCAAAGCCAATGGCCTTGTTACTGACACATACTTTGAGCATGATATGGCTCATTGATTTTGTTTTCTCTTTCCCATCTGAGGATTCCAGAGTCTTCTGTTCCTCCCTGGGACAGAGGAGGCTCTCTTGCCTCTTCTAGGGTAGCCCGGGTTGGGCCAGTCTATGTTCTAGAGTCATTCTTTCCCCCTTCCTCCGCTCACCGCAGTCTCATTAGCCTCTTCACATACATCTTTTTTTCTTCCCTCCTTTATTCATTCATCAAGCATTTAGCTAGGGCCAAGCAGTGTGCTAAGATCTGGGGACAAGATATGGCCCTGTGACCAGGTTAGCCCATGATCTCTTATTCTGTTTAGATGTATCTCTCCTCCATGGGTCTTGAGGGGCTGTAACCTTGGCATTCACATACAGGTACTCTCTGCAGACTTGAGGTTTTTAGAGATTCTGTCTGTTGTTCTGATAGATATTCATTCATTTATTCTGCAGGTACTTAGGACAATCCAGGCATCTTGCGGGGTACTCGAAATGTAGCTGTGTACAAGACAGGCCCCCTCCCCCATCCCCCCATTCTCCATGTGGACAGGGCAATGTTTAGACCTTTCTGGAGAGTGGGAACATTGTACCCCTCCACGTGTAACCCTCTGGGAGCCTGTAATTATAATACAAACTCCCGCCATGTGGCATTTACCCGCCGGATGGAAGGTAGGCAGCAAGAAGAGTTGAATCACCTGGTCCTCAGGCCCTCACAGCCTGCACCCAACTCGAATTTCAGGGATTGGTTTTCAGTAAATCCCCTCACTTTACAAAGAGGAAGAATGAAGCTGAAGATGGCCAGTGAGTGTTGTGAAGCAAACACCGTGAATTGAGAGCTGGAGGCGAGTCCAGGCCCCCATCCCTATTCCCAGGGCACCCCTGTGGATGAGATCAAGATCAGGATGACATCTAGACTAACTGGAAGTGCACTTGGGAGCAGCAGTCTCTCTGGGTTGTGGTGGTCTCGTGTTTGTTTTGGTGTCTAGGTTATCGGAGGGCTTGCCTAGGTGTATTCAGAGTGAGTGAGTCTGGGTTATTCCTGAGCACACCCATCATTCCATTTCTGAGAACAGGTGAGCCCCTTCTACCTGCCTTCACCTGGGAGACACAGGTGTACTTAGTCTATGAAAACCTGATTGTTTAAAATATCTTTAAGACTGTTCAAAGTGAATTGGTTGCCATGATAACCTCCAGGAAAAGCTACTTGTTCCTCTCCGTTTTTTCTACTGTTTTTGATTATCGCAAAACAGTGGCCACCTAAACCACAGGCGCCTTGGGCCTCCCTTCTGCCTCCACCGGACGCCCGTGGGCCAGGGAGGATCCCTGCAGTAGGAGGCACTTCTCTGCCCCTCGGGGCTGCTCAGTGACTGCGGCAGACAGAAACAGTGTCCACATTCATGAACCAGGGTTTGCTTCTCTTCCCTTTGTGAAAACCAATCAATTACGAGATTCATGGATGGGTGCGTAAAAGTCTTGGCTGAGCCAAAGTCCCTTCTTGGAAATACAAGCCATAGAATTAAAAGGACATCAAAGCCCTCGGCTTGTTTAAGCGAGTTTACTTGCAGCAGTGAGTGGCCTTGACCACGAGAGTTTAAGCAGGACTTGGCAGACCTGCTGGTGATCATGTAGGTGGGGAAAGCACTTCACAATGTTAAGTGGGGTACAGATGGGCAGCATGCTTTGCTTCGCCAGCACATCTTATTCCCATAATCCTTTCCACCCCATAAGAGCCACTGCCCTTTCTTTTTCCAGGTTTATTGAGGTATTTGACATACAGCGTTGGGGTTTATTAACATGCAGTAAAATTCACCCTTTTGAAGTATGCGGTTCAGTAAATTTTGACAAACGCATACGGTCTTGTAACCACCACCAAAATCAACATATTTCCGTCACTCCAAAAAGTGCCCTCAGGCTCCTCCTAGTCGATCCACTCCTCCCACTCCCAGCCCGCAGCAACCACTGATGGATGTTCTGACCCTATCGTTTCCCCTTTTCTAGAATGTCCTATAAATGGAGTCGTGCTGATGTAGCCTCTGGCTCTGGCTGCTTTCCCTCGCTTAATGCTTTTGCGTCACCCGTGTTGCTGTATGTGTCAGGAGTCTATTCCTGTACATCCCCGAGCAGTGGTCCATTGCACGGGTGTCCCACACTGCTTCCTTGCTTTTAAAGCCAGTTGTTTGCCCTGGAGTTCCTGGCCCGGGGTCTTTCAGTATTTTGCACGGCTACTTCCAGCCTGCTGCTTCCTACAGCTCCTGAGGCTCCTCCGAATTCCAGCTATGCCCACAAGTGGTTCTTGGGGCTCACACTTGCCTTTTTCGTTCATTTTAGGTTTTTGACAATGCAGACAGCTGCCAGGGATTGGAGGGAGGGGGCGGGTGGGGTCTCAGTTGCCTTCGACTTCTGCTGAACCGTGAAGATTGCATCTCAGTTAGCAGATCTGCTCCCTCCTGGGGACCCTCCCTTCAGCTCGCACAGTCCTTGGCATTTATTGAGCACTGGTGGGTGTGGAAGGCGAATGGACATAGCATGAATGAGAAGACAGGGGGCTGGCCTTGGGTTAATCTCAGTCCTTTCCTCGATCTCTCTTGCTTCATCTGCCAACTAAGGATATTTGTTCTAGATGGTCTCTCAACCCTCCTCCCCTCCTCTTTTCAAGTTTTGTACCCTCTGCACGTGGTGGTGCCTATCTGGATCCCATGAGCACATCCCGTCAGTTGTGCGTGGTGTTGCCTGGAATCCTCATGAGAGGCGTGCTCTGGCACTTCTCTGCTTAGATGCAAATGGAACTAAAATTAAGTTTCATGAGCTGTTGAGAATGAGGTAGTTCCTCCCAGGACCCTTAAAGAAAGCGCAAGTGGTTACCTTTTGGGTCTCGTCCCCTGGTCTTTGACAGCACGTCCTGATGTCTGCTTCCAAGGAGCCAGGACAGGCATGAAGTCAAGCCTCCCTCAGGTTCTTGTCATTGCTGGAGCCTTGCTCAGCTGGCCGTCACACTGAGCCTGGCCTGTGCCTACACCCCACTGAGTGGTGGCATCTGGTGGCAGAGACAGGACCAACCCAGCTAATGCCAGGCAGGCTATGGGCCTGAGCCCCGAGGTAACCACTCCAAGCCATGTCTTGATTATGCCGTGATCAGTGGGAAGTGAGCCCTGGGAGGCAACCAGGCACTTCTCCAACCAAATGGAAGACGTTCTTGGATCCAGGCCGCTGAAGGTCAGGGCCCGAGGGGCCCAAGTCCACAGTGGGTCACACTGAAGGGTTGTTTCTGGGTTGAATTTTGCCAGGGAGGACTTCCACATCTCCCCCACGGGAGTAGTATTTCTGTCGGGCCTTTTCTGTTGCAGCAGGTTTGGGTGCGAAAAAGACTGACAGATGGCGTAAAGCAATGTTCCGTTTTCCCTGAGCCTCTAGATGCCGTGGCGTGGCTCTGTCAGGAGCCTGTGTTAGGGGTGCCTCTGCAGGAGAGGCATTGTGGTGGTCTTTGGCCCCGCTCTGTGCACTGCTTTGGGGGCATGGACCCTTTGTGTTTGAGGGGAATCCCTAATGGGATTGCAGTAGTGGAATGGGAAGGGTCCAGGCACATGCGTGCTCTGATGGGGACGGTGTGACGTAGCGATGGAGAGTAAAAGCACCTGGCACCTGGCCTGCCGTGCTGTCTCAGTTGTCGGTCCCATAACCTGAAGTTAAGTCGCATCCCCTCTCGGGACCTCTGTGTACTCATCTGTCGAGTGGAGATGCTCCCCCTCCAGCATCACGCACAGCAGACAGGCTCTTGGGAGCTGTGGCCTCCAGGCAGCCATGTGGACCCAGGGACAGACATTCAAAGGGACACCAGCCATTCTTGGTGACAGGGGCCCCATGTTTGCATCTCTGCCCTTTGGAAGGAGATGGTTGAGGGGCAGCCCTTTCACAGACATGAGCACATCAGCAAACTCTATGAAAGTGGAATTTTCTAACAAAATAAACTTGCTTGTTTGGTCTGTTTTCTGTAACTTTTGCTAAATACTTTATACATTTTTAATGTTAAAAAGCTGTGTCTCCTGCCAACACTCCTCATCCCGGTATGAATGTGTTTACCCCACATTGTATACCCTTCCATCCTCTGGCTGCCTAGATCAGTAAATAAAATTGATGTACTATAATTTATAAGTAACACTGTTGGAACTCTGCTCCCTATGGAGGCTGTCATTCGCCCTTCTCACCCCACTGTAATAGCATTTATGTGTATTAATGCTGAAGAATTAAATGTTTAAAGGGTTTAAATTTTGAAGGCATTTGCTCTATATAATTGTTCTGCATTATTATAAAGCGTTTTCAGGAAGTCAAATGCTCTCATCTTTGTCTTGGGCTCTGTGTGTACAGTTGAGATGCTGACATTCATCCCGTGTAAGATAAACTGTCCAGAGACGCCGGGTCCCGCCGGGCGACCCCCGTTCCTGGAAAGCTGCCACATTCTCCCTTGTACAAACGGTCTCTGTTCCTCCTGGGCTCCCAGGACTGGTGATGATTTTACTCCTGATGACTTAGCAGAGGAACAGAGGGCCCCTGGGCGTTGACCCCCAGGTGGGTACCATGCTGCAAGACCCACACACCTGGCCCTGTCCCCAGTCCCCTCCCCTGGTGACTTCTGTCCCTGTGAACAGAAGGGGCTCCTGGCTAGTATTTCTTTTCTCCTCCATCCATCCATTCATTCATGCAGTAGTTATTGAGCACCTGCTGTGTGCCAGACATTGCTGTAGGTACTGGGAACACAGTGGATGAAACTGGTAAAGAGCCCTGCTCTTGAGCTTCCTTTCTAGCAGGGAGAGACAAGCCGTAGACAGAATAACAAAATTATAGAGCATGGGTATGTGTGTGGAAGGTGTTGAGTGTTATGGAGAAAGATGAACAGGGGAGGGTGAGTGGGATTGGTGGTTCCAGGGGTGAGGGTGGGGAAGTTGCCATGTTAAATTGTGTAGTGGGTGGCCTCATCGAGAAGGTGGCATTTGATCAAAGACAAGGAGACCTGGAAGGGAGCCCAGCAGGTAGCTTGGGGAAGAAAGTTCCAGGCAGAGGAGGTGGCCCAGTTAAAGGCTGGGGGTCACCCACTCGTTTGAGGCCAGTGTGGTCAAGCAGAGGGATGGAGGGGAGGGGACAGCTTCTGCAGGACTTTGCTGGCCTTCGAAGCTCTTTGACTTTTGTGTAGGAGGGTCCGAGATGAGCAGCGCATGGCCTGACTTCGTTGCTATAGGGCTCGCTGTCCGACTCCAGGGGACAAGGGCAGAAGCAGGAGGACACAGAAGTGGACCACAGGGAGAGGAGACAGTGCCTGTAGGAGGCGGTCACGGTGGAGGTGGGGACAATGGTCAGGTTCTGGATGGACTTTGAAGGTAGAGCCAACACCTTCTTGACAGGTTGGAGTGGGGTGTGACGGAGAGAGAGGCGCTGAGGATGACTCAAGGATTTCAGTCGAAGCACGCAAAGGATGGATTGCCATATACTGCGTTGGGACGGCCGTGGGAGGAGCGTTCTTTCCCATTCTCTTCCTCCCACACCCCTCGCCCTACTCCCTTTTCCCTCTCAGCGCAGACTTGTGTGCAGGCTCTGGTTCCAGGCAGAAGGAGGAAGGGTCCTCTGGTCCCTCATCTCATGGCAGAGGAGGGTAGAGGAGCAGGGCGAAGCCTAGGGCCTGGGCCCCAGCTAACAGTCAGGACACAGCCTGCTTCTTTGAGTCAAGGCAAGGCCGGGAGGGGGAGACACAAACTGAGATTCTCTGACGGGAGGCGAGGCCTTCTTGCCAGCAGGCTTTGGGGTTTTGGGCGAGTTTATGGCCCCAGCTCAGACTTAACAAATCCATTCACCATACATCATCTCCAACAACTTGTTTGGCTAAGAGTGTAAACTCTCCCTCTGATAGAAGATGTTTATGCAGGTTTTCAAACAAACCTCCAGGTCATGACCCCTCTCTCAGCAGCGTCAACACAGCTGCCGGTGGTCCCCTCCCACAGTTGGGCCCCTCCCGGGCACAGCAACGTGAAGAATGTGGACAGTACCTGGCTGCTTCCAACCTGGTTCCAGCCCCTTCCTCCTTGCCCTTGGAAAGGGCAGAAGATACTGGGGGGTTCTGGCTTCTGTGTTAACCGAGGGCCCTGTCCCCTGGCCCACGGCCTCTTCTGCTGTCAACCCTCAGCTCCTCACCTACGGAAATGGAACTTCTTGTCCCCCCGGCTCAGGTCTCCTTGAGAAAGGCGGCAGTTGTAATGTAGAGAGAGTGCAGAGAACCCGGAACAGGGCACCTGGCAGACCCAGCCTTTCCTCCTGGCTTTGCCATGTAGCAACTACGTGACCCAGGCAGGTGACATGCCTTTTGGAATTCCATTTCTTCTTTGTAGCATTGGCCTGTTAGCTGCAGGCTTGGTGCGCCCAGGTCTGGCAGGCACTTCTGCTCACCTGGCTCAGAGGCAAGGGTTCTGGCCTCACTTTCACAGCCTGGGTTTTGTTTCCTGTTTGTTTTTTGTGACTCTCCTATTTCTATCTCCTCCTGAGAACAAATGCCTGCTACAGGATAGTGAAAGTCTAGAAAAAGAGAAAGGCTCTTATTAAGAAATAAGATGCTGTCACAAACTGATGGGAAAAAAATACTAAGTACACACACACACACACACACCCCCCCCAACATTAAGGCCTCCTGAGAAATACTCTGGAACCGCAGGGGGTGGGGTGGGCGGGAGGCAGCAGTGGGTCAGCACATTGGTGCATGAACTTCTCAGTCCTTCCCAAGCAACATCAGGGTGAGGTGGCAGGTGGCTTTCTCCCAGGAGTGGGACCCTACTGTCCCCTGTCCTGAGCCTGTTATAAAATAGGGTGCAAACCCCAACTCACCTGCCTAGAGACTGTGGGGTTTATTCTTCATAGTTACAAGCCCTGGGCAAAGAGGGGCCCTCTCTCCCATCCCATGGGAATTCTGGGCCCAGACGCACTCCCCTCCAGTTACACCCAGCCGAGCCAGAGCGCCACCCACTTTTCCTTTGGGTGATGAGAATTCAGGTACAGAAGACTCAGTAGGGTTCCTCCTTGTGTCCTGGACTCGTCCCTGCGCTGACTGCAGGGTGCGAAGCCTTCCCAGACAGAGCTCCCTAGCCCCTTGATCCGTCGCTCACTCAACAAGTGTGTGTTAGTGTCTGCCAGCTCCAGGCACCAGGCATGGTTGCCAAGTGACAACCCACAGGCTGAAACTGAGCCACAGATATGTTATATTTGACCCACACTACATTTTTAAAAATTTTGAATTAACTCTCAAAGTTTAAAAAGTTTGGAAATTACATCTAAAAATCTGATTTCCAGATTTCTTTTGGATAATTGAAAAATCTAGGAACACTGGGCCATAATCCCATATGACCACATTCAAATGGCAGCCCCTTCCTTGTAGGACACAGGCCTCACCGCTCCCTATTGCCTCCCTGATCCACCTGCTACTCACTGCACTTGTTGGCCCCTGTGGACAGTTCAGTTTTCCATCCCTGTTGTAGATGAATAACAAAGCTAACCTCCAGCACTTACTATGCGCCAGGCTCTGTTCTAAGTTCATTGCACATATGAGCTCATTTCAGCCTCACAATAACAATAAGGTAGACACTATTATTATGCCTGTTCACTTAAGGAATATTCACTGAGGGCCCAAAGCTGCCAGGCACCACTCTGGCAGTGGAGATGCAGCCAGGAACAAACAGGTAGAATCCTGCCTTCATGGAGCTTCCCTTCTGGTGAGGCCGCAACGGCACTCAGAATAAACAAACAGTAAGTCAGAAGGTGTATGTGTGAGGGAGAAAAATAATGCAGGATAAAGAGTTTGGGGCGTGCTGATGGTTCGGGGTGGGATGTGCTATGGTAAACAGAGTGGCCAGGATAGGACTTCCTGAGAAGGTGACGTTTAAGGAAAGCCGTGAAGGAGGGAAGGATTAGGAGGAGAGCGTTCTAGGCAGGCAGAGGTTAAGGAACTGCCTGGGGTCACACAGCTAGTAAATTGCAAAGCTGGGATTTGAACCCACCTGGCTCCTAAGCACTGCATCATAGGGCTCAGTGAAAGATGCCATCCGTGCCCCTGAGACCCTCAGAGTTAAGGCAGAACACAGGCGGTGGACTCAGAGTCCACTTAGTCCACTCTTGGAGTCTCCTAGCTATTCTTAGAGAGGTAGCATTGGGGGTGCAGGAGGGACGGGCAAGGGACAGTGAGGAAGGCTTCTGCCCAAGGCTTCCACTCTGAATGTTCTGACCTCCTGTCTTTTCTTCCCAGAAGGCCACAGTGTATTGACCACCTGCTGTCAGCTCTTTATTTTAATCTCAGGGGGATTCTGGGAGCTTGCCCCCCTCCCCCACAAGCTCCTGGCTCCTCCTCCCTCCAAGTATTGGGGTGAACTGGCCACAAATCCTCCTAATCCGCCAGCATCTCAGCATCCGCCTCCAGTGGCAGCCAGCCCCGGCAGCCGGGAGACGACGTTGCTCCCGCTCACCCACCTAGCGGCAACTGCCCTGCCGGGCCCACGCTGCTGCATCCATGGGGAACAGCAAAAGCGGGGCCCTGTCCAAGGAGATCCTGGAGGAGCTGCAGCTGAACACCAAGTTCACGGAGGAGGAGCTGTGTGCCTGGTACCAGTCCTTCCTGAAGGAGTGCCCCAGCGGCCTCATCACCCGGCAGGAGTTCCAGAGCATCTACTCCAAGTTCTTCCCCGAGGCCGACCCCAAGGCCTACGCCCAGCACGTGTTCCGCAGCTTTGACGCCAACAGCGATGGCACCCTGGACTTCAAGGAGTACGTCATCGCCCTGCACATGACCACTGCGGGCAAGACCAACCAGAAGCTGGAGTGGGCCTTCTCCCTCTACGACGTGGATGGCAACGGCACCATCAGCAAGAATGAAGTGCTGGAGATCATCATGGTCAGTCTCGGCTTACCCCTTTCCGGCTGCACGGGACTGGGGTCACCCAGGGTCAGGGCCCCCTGCTGCTGCTGCACAGGAGGTAGCCGCTGGGGGCGCTGGAGGGTGGAGTGGGGATCCAGGCTTTGTGACTCAATGGTTCTGGGAGCAAGGTGAGAAGGGATCTCCAACATACTATCAATATAACCCCTTTCACTTTCCTCCTAAAGAAGAATCTGGGATTTCCTATTATTTACACTTTTTGTTTCCTTCCCTCCTTCCTTCCTTCCTTCCTCTCTTCATTAAGATGTCCTTCAAAACCTTCAACACTACGCATTCGGATTTCAGATTCTTTCACAAGTGATTTTTAACATACAACGTGTTTCAAATATCCAGTAGAAAGAGGCCAAAGTTGGGGGAATCTGAATCTGTGTTCTAGTCCGGGTTGTCTTCACGACGTGTGGCAGGTCACCTCCCCCTGTGACTCTCAGCTTTCTCCTCCGTCACCTGTCCTAGATGGAACCACCAGATCCTCAGGGTCCTCGCAGGCCAGCACACATTCTCCTCTCTGTCCATATTGGCCCAGCGTCAGATCATTTATTGTGAAGATTTTACATGTCTTGAAAATAGTTTTATTTGATATATAAGCAATCATGAAATTTAGAAACATATGCAAAAGAAAATGAGAATTGCCTTTAATTCCATCATCCAGAGAAAATTATTGTCAACATATTGGTATAACCCTTTCCAGTCTTTTATCTATATATTTTTGAATAACTTTAGAACAATGATATATTCATATGTGACTTTTATCATACTTTTTTCAGTAACTATTTTATTATGAATATTTTCCATATCAATATATGTTCTTCAAAACCATTTTTAATAGCTGCTTAGAATTCCATCTTATGGAAATGCCATACAATTATTGCCCTATATTCCTACATTTTTCGACAACTAGGATGTTTCTATTTTTCTCTATTATATCATCTGTATTTCCCTTCATTTAGTATCTTCTTACTCGATCTTTTTTTTATCCCCCTACCCCACGCCACTTGCTTTATTTCTCTAATTCCCTTCCTGTTAAGAGGGAGAAAGCTTTTCATATTATAGATAATTTTAGATGCATTTGTAATCCTGCTTTCATTTGCATAATTCTCCCACCCTTATTAGGAGAAGCCATAAATAAAAGAGCCAAGCACCAGCTTGTGGTAGTGGACTCTGCTTGGGCCTCCCGTTATGGGCAGGTGTGTGGGAACCTCCAGTAGAGCAAGATCCCCTGGATTGGCAGGTGGCCTGGGAGAGGGACCACATCCTCAGAACCACCTAAAGGATGCCAGCCCAGCGGAGGCCTATGACTTGGTGCTCCCTGAGGAAAAGGAGGAGGGAGAGAACGGGAAGGAAGGAAGGGAGAGACCAGGAAGGAAGGAAGGAAGGGAGAGAGAGGGAAGGGGAGGGAGGCGGGGAGCATCCACAGCTGAGGCTGTGCAAGGTGGCGCCAAGGCTCCCTTACCCACCAGATCACAAGGTCACTGGCCTGGGAGTCAGAAATTATGGGTTCTAGTCCCAGCTACGCCACCAACCAGGGGCTTGGGAAAACCATGTAACGTCCCAGGGCCCACGGTGAGGATTTGATGGTTCTTTCTTGGTTCTTTCATCGAGGCCCCAGTCTGTCCTTGGTGTTAGAAGCAGAGTAGGGCAGGCAGCCAACCACTCCCACCATTTAGCCATGGGGCCTGCACAGAGTTCCCAGGGCTCAGGACAGAGAGATGAGTTAAGGGAGCCACTTATACTTCAGTTGCTGGGCACCTCTGGGCTCTGAGCAGAGGCAGCCGAGGCTGCTGCCCCAAGCTGCTGGGTTTGATTTCCTGCTCCTCTTGTCGTAGCCTGGGGGGCTAAGAGGGAACTTCTCACAGCTGTTGACCTTCCCTCCAGGCTAATTTCACGCACCTTACTGCCCCTGCAGGGCTGTGGTCCCAGGTGTCTCCAAGGTGCCCTCCCAACTTCCACCCGACACCCCTGCCTGCTCCAGGAGCCCCCTGCAATGCTGAGGGTGCAGGCTGGGGCAGGCCCGGGGCCACCACCTTGAGTGTCCACGCTGGGCCTGGCCAGCCCTGGAGTTATTGAGCTGGCAGACTCAGTCCACTCAGGCTGGAGGGGCACGTGGGGACCACCTGGTCCCTGTCCCTGATCACAGGGCAGGAGGCACTTCCTGCTTTGCCCCGCATCGCACATCCAGCTCCTTTATTACGAGAGTAGAGGGAGGTGAAGAGGTTCCTTGAGCCTAACACTAAACCTTTCCCTGGCCCCCTCCCTGAGTGGAGGGTAAGTGAGGGGCTTCCTGTTTTCCAAAGGGAGACCTTTAGAAAGTTCTGGTTGACGCCTCCCCTCTCCCTCCCCCAGTGCCTGGGACGCTCTCCAAGGCGTTCCAGGAACGAGGAGGTGACTGACGTGATGCAAGCCTGGAGAGTCTAGAACCAAACTGCTGGGTGAGGACCCCCACTCTTCTGCTCCTAGCTCGGTGACAGTTAGTCGTCTCAGTTTCTTCATCTGTAAAATGGGGCCAACAATGCCCCCCTCATAAGGTTGTTGTGGAGGGTACATGTGAACGTGTTTAGAAAAGTGACACACACTCGACAAATGTCAACCGTATCACCATAGGCCAACTCGGCTGGGCAGGCTCCGTACCCCACCGGCCCAGAAGGAGCCTCTGGATGTTCCAGAACTTCCGGGCAGTAGGGCTCAAGGTAGCAGTTCCCAAATGGCAACCTCAGGACTGCTGTGGAATTACCATCAGGAAGCTTTTCATTTCTTATTTTCACTTAAAATGAAAGTAATATGTCTACATGGTCAGGAAATTCAAACAGGACAGAAAGGGACAAAATAAGAAGTGGAAGCTTTCCTCCCCCCTCCCCCCACGTTCCTGTCCTGTCTGAGGATCTCAAAAAGACAGACGCCCTGGCCGCCCTCGCAGGCGCTTGGATGCAATCGGCCAGGCTGGGCCCTGGGAATCTGCATTTTAACCTCTGCCAGCCACGTGTTCCCCGGGGTGGCCAGTCCCTGCTGCTCCTTATGACGAGTTCTTTCTTTTATTTGGTGCAGGCGATTTTCAAAATGATCAATCCTGAGGACTTGAAGAACCTTCCAGATGATGAAAATACCCCGGAGAAGCGAGCTGAGAAGATCTGGGGGTTCTTTGGAAAGAAAGATGATGGTGAGTTCCTTCTCCTTCATAGCTTTTGATTTTACAGCTGCAGGCTGCTTCCTGGAGACCCCGGTGAGATTTATCCTGAGTCCCAGTGCCCAGGCAGGACAGGGAACAGCTCATGCACTGCGGGGCTGTGTGAAGGGCCCTTGAGGGGAATGAGCAGAAGAGTCAGCAGGACCCATTTCTGCTGCTGCTGCCACTCTGCAGCTGCCGCTGCTGGTGGGAAACGGCGCCACATCTCGCTGGCTTATAAAACTCCGTCGCTGCCTGAGGCTCTCTGGGGGATTAGGAGAGCTCTAAATTACCAAGTGCTTGAGGAAAAACACCTTTTGTTCTAAGAGTCGGCCCACAGTGAAGGAAGAGATGGTAAAAAGTGCAGGCAACAGCTCTTATCAGTTTGTATGCAAATGACGAGTTTAGAGGAATTGCAAATTATTTCTTTCTGAAGGAAGTGCCTGGTTTTTAGACACGTTGGTTTCCTTTACTTGTTTTTAAAAATACTTTCTGCACAGCTAGGACCGGGCAGACTTCAGCTCAGTCTGCGTCTGAATTAGCATCGAATCCCAAGGAAGTGGGACCTCAGTTGACACGGTTTTACTTTAGGAAGTTAATTTGGGTATCTGAGAAGCACTGCCAGACAAGATGAGATTTAAACCAGATTACAAGAGATTTATTAGGGGAGAGGACTGCCAGGGAAAATGGGAGGGTTCTAGGAGAGGCTGTAAAGCCGTCAGACTGCAAAGCAGATCGGACCCCCGTGGGCAGAGAGGCAAAGAACGAATGTTGGGTAAGGAAAGTCTTAGGCTGCAGAGCTGTTCTAAGAAAGTTTTGGCAAAGCCCACGGGGCATCCTCGAGCCCTCTTCTTCCAGGAGCTGACCTGTCTCAGTACTCTGCCCCGCTTAGCCTTTGGCTGGGAGCAGCAGTGGGGAGTGTGGTCTTGCATTGAAAGCGATGATGGAGTCCAGACCTGGGCCGCTGGGGCCGCTGGGCATGATGCTCGTGGCCAACCCACGAAGGATGCAGTAGAGGAGTTGGTGTCAGGGGGTGCTGCAAACTCACATGGCCAAGGAGGCAGATGATGAAAGTGAGAGAGGTGGACAGTAGCCCTACTAAGTGATAGGGACTGGTAAATAGTGGAGAGTGGATGTCTGGTCTGATGGTCTCCAGTTAATTGTTGCCACGTGGTAACATGGAGCCCTCTGGGGCCTCATCATCTGATTTTTTAAGAGAAGCCAGCAATCGAGATTTTTAAAATCTGACGTTTCTCGAATGATGAAACACTATGTGGCCCAAACACATCAGAGGGGCCAATGTTGGCCCTTTTGTGGTCTCTGGGGCAGTCTCTTACCAGGGTTCCAGGGGACAGGTCTGAGTAGGACGTTAAGTAAGGGTGGGTAGAGATGACCCTGGCCCCGCTAATCTGCAGTCCAGGAAGAAGTCACAGAAGTGAGAAGGTCATTGGCACTAGGGCTGGAACTAGGGTCAGGCAAGTGAGGTGCCGGGGTACCAAATTTAAGGAGACACTTGTTGTCAGGTGCCGGCCCTGAGCTCGCACCACCCTGAAAGTGAGCGCCTCCTTAAATTTGACAGGGTTGGCACCTCACTTGCCTCATCCTAGTCCGGCCCTGATGTCACCTGCCCTTTGAGCGCCTTCCTTCCCTCCTTGTTTGCGTGGATCCTGGCTGCTTAACCACCTCCCTGTGCCACCTCAGCACATTGGCTCTTTAACCCCCTTCATGGCATCCCTCTGGGTCTGCCACGTGTGGAGCCCCCTGTTCAGCTACTTGCTAACCTGAAAATGGACCCAGGTGAATGTCACAGGTGGCAGTGGTGCTGGGGGCTGACGTGTGACTCCTGCCAGGTGACGTGTGTGTGTGTGTTCACAGCGCCCACCTGGAGACAACGCCTCCCTCCAGCATCGGCTCTGATGGTGGGAGGTTCAAGCTGTGTGAGGCTGATAGGGTAGCTGGGACTTTAAAGCCCAAATTGCACCACCCAGACCTGTGTAGGGAAGCAGCCTGGATCCAAACCCAGGAGGGATTAAGGATGCCTGAAAGGCCTGGAGCATAAGCCAGCGGAAACCCATTTCAGTTCAGCCAAGCATTGATGAGCACCTATTGGGTGCAGGACTATGAGCAGAACCACGAGCAGAAAGGAGCCCCTGTCTCATTCTAAACTTATTTCTACATGGGACGCTCTTCTCCATCAGACCAAGAGTTTCCTGCGGCCAGGGACTTTCTCTCACTCCCTTCTATGCTGCACCCTGCCCCCTGCCCTCTGTCCCCTGTGGTGACCTCAGCCCCGTGCACGGTGGCTCTGGCACAGGGGAAGGGCTCTGTGACTTGCCCTTAACTGGATGGAACAGAAGACAATAGTTGGAGGCAAGACTCTCTCCATCCCAAGTGAGGAGGCAGACGGGGGGATGCAGAGATGCATAAGGAAGAGTGAGGGTGGAGCTGTCAGCCGAGAATCACAGCATCACGGGGCTGCCCCTGTGCTGCCAGGGGGCAGAGAGCTCTCCACAACCCGGGCTCTCCCTGGCAGCACACTAGACCCTGACCTTTCCCTCCCTCCTCCCTGCGTAGATACTGTTCCCTGCTTCTCAACTGAGACTCTGCTCTGCTCAATCCCCAGGAAGTTCCCCCAGACCTGGAGGCTTGAGACCTGGGGTAATATACAAAACAATTCATAACCAGCAGGGCAGAGGCACCAACCAATCAGAAGAGACACACAGCACTGGACTGCATCCTGGAGGCCCTGGGCAGGGCCAGTCCTTAACCCTCTGGTTGCTGGTTCATGGGGAGGGCCAGGGGTCCTGGGGAGAGGGTGGGTATCTGGGGTGGGGGTGGGGGTGCCCCCGGGGGCACTGAGACTCAGTATTTTCATAATGGATACATCCATCCTGGGCATGCTGGCCAATGTCAGCCTCGTGGCAGCTTGAAACAGCCAATCCTGAATCCTGACTGTAGTGTTTTTTCCCCATGCACAGATAAACTTACAGAGAAAGAGTTCATCGAGGGAACGCTGGCCAATAAGGAAATCCTGCGACTGATCCAATTTGAGCCTCAAAAAGTGAAGGAAAAGATAAAGGAGAAGAAACACTGATGCCAACTGCTCGGCTCTCCTTCCCCTCATCACTCGCAGAAACACACACACACACACACATGCACACACGTGCACGCACCCCAGGGGCCACAGAGACCCCAAACCCCACAGCACGTTAACCCCCAGCACAGCTCCCTGCCAATCGGAAGCGTCGTTAGCAATCCACCGCTTCCTTCTTCCTTCTGTCTTCAGGCTTTCTTCTTCCCTCCCCTTAGACCCACCGCCTCCCCTCCCCCTGCCCGCCAGCCCAAGCCTCCGAGATAATCCCGGGATTAGGTCACAGGAGTCCTAAATGTCAGCCCCGTGTAAGCTCCTTTGAGGATTGCTGGGTAAGCAGGATCCAATAAACGCAAGAGGAGCTGGCACACGGCTGGCTGGTCGTTCTTGAACTGGAAAGGAAATGATTTCTGTCGGCTCAGCCTCTAGACAAGGATGTACTGCCATTGCGTCACAGGCCGGGTGCTGGGACTGCCGTGGGGCAGAGGACAGATGCGGCCCGCTCCCGGGGAGCTCAGGGTGCGGAGGGGACTGGAGACCTGGAAGAAGCCATCATAAGCAGGGAGGTTGCTGTGGAGACGTCAAAACACTGTGGGAAGATATGACAGGTAGGGCTGACTTGTCCAGAGGCCAGAGGTGTTCCTAAGGAAGGGACATGTAAGTTAAGACCCAATGGACTGTGGCCAGGGAGGGGGCAAAGCGCCTTATCTCAGAGGGAAACCCACGCAGACCCAAGGCAGGAATGAGAATTTCAAGTTCCAGGACTATGAAAAGGCCCGGGGATCCACAAGCAGAGGGAGGAGCGAGAGCAGACTGTGAGTTAAGCCAGGAAGGGAGACAGGGGCCAGACCGAGAGAAGCCTTCCCTGCAGCCCCTGGAAGACTGGGCTTCACCGTGGGGGCCATGGGTACCACTGTGCAGTTTGAAGAAGGAGGGATTTATGTAGGTAAGAGAACCCTCTGGGGTAGAAATAAATGAGAGACCCAAGACTAGAGTCAAGGAGCCTAGAAATTACACTTTCATAGTCGCCAGGGTGGCCTGGGCCAGGGGAACAGCAGTGGGTGGAGAGAACAGCCTGCTCTGGAGGTATCTAGAAGGTAGAATCCACCTGACTGGCTGCAGGAGGATGACAGAGGGACGAGGATGGCACCCAGGTTTGTGGCTTGAGTGCTGGTGAATGGTGATGCCATCTACCAAGATGGGAAACACAGGGAGGGTTGTTGGATTCAGGGGTAATGACAAGTTCAGTTTTGGTAGGGTGCGAGGTGAAGACAGAGCCACTGATGTCCCTGAGGCCTCTCATTTTAGAGACAAGGAAGAGAAGGCCCAGACACAGGAAGCAGCTAGCCCAGGGTCAGCCAACTAATGAGCAGGGGCCAGGCAAGCACAGCCCACTGGCCCACACTGCCTCATCAGATCTCCAGGACCTGGGACACCTGAGAACTCACTCTGTCAGTGGGTTCTCCAAGATCGTTGGGTTCATTGTTTTGAAGGTACATTTATTCTCCAGGCTTAACTTCCAAGATGAGGTCAGAAAAATATACAGATGTCCTGGACAACTGAGCAACCTGTGTACAACCCCCTGAGGCAGAGGGGTCTCTGTTTGCTGGTATTGAGGGTGACTCCCCCCACCAGCTTTAGCCACAGCCATGGCACAATCACCACCACCAGAGAGCACTGCTCTTTGCGGAGGGCGAACTTGAGAGTGATCCTAACACTTACGTGTGGGGCATTTCCTATGACCCGGGCATCCTGCTAGATGCTCAGCATTATTTCATCGATGGAGACAGAATTATCCCCATGGTATAGATGGTGACATTGATGCCATGAAGTGCGAGTAGGATTTGGTATGTAAGGCAGAGTCCCTTTGATTACACCAGGTTGCCCTGATAGTTTGACCTGGACATGACAGGACAGAGAATTCTGGATCACACGACATCGGAGCTGGAAGGGGAGGGGAATTTGATCCAGAGGTTCTGGGAGGAGGAGGCACTGCTGGCGACAAGCCTCCAGTGTCAGACGTAGTGGGTTACCCGGGAGGCAGCTCAGGGGGAGAAGAGGGACCTTGGGTCCAGCTCAGGGTGGTCTAGCTATAGAACCAAAGGGCGCCATTCCTCACCCTGGTGCTCTTCCCACCACCCCACACTCTGCCCTGCATGAGTGAGTCTGGTTGGTTGGGGCATGGGGCATGGGGTTCTCTCTGAGGTCAGGACGGGGCATACACACTGCAAAATAACCTTGTTGGTCTGTGGTTCAATAAGAGAGATAAAGGGCCACTGGATCTTCTATTGGCCAGTGGAGAACCAAAGAGTGATAACCTAATTCACACATCTTCTGTTAGCTGGGGGTGGCAGGGCCACTTGGGCTGGGGTCCTGGACAGCTCTAGGCCACTCTTTGGGGAAGATGCTGAGAGAAGCCAGAAGCAGTGTAGAGTCCAACTTGACTGAAGAGAAGAGAAGGAAGTAGAAGTGGTGATGAGCCATGTCATCAAGACTCTTCCAGATGCAAGGGACAGAACACCCAACACGAATTGTTGGGGCACAAATAGGAATTTACTGACATTTAACTGAAATTTCAGGAGTAGCACTAGCTTTAGGTCTGGCTTCATCCAGGGGCTCCAACAATGTCTCAAGGTTCTTTCTCCATCTCCTCGGTCTGCTTTCTGCTGTGGTGGCTCACTTCTCAGGCAGGCATTTCCCTATGCTGGCAAGATGGCCACCAGCAGACCCAGGCTGACTTCTTCATGATTCCAGTTTCAGCAGAAAAGAGAAAATGCTTTTCTGTCAAGAGTCCCAGCCAAAGTTCTATGACTATCTCTCATTGGCTCTGATTGGTTTTATGCCCATTTCTGACCCAATATCTGGTGCCAGGAGGATGTCGTGCTTGAATTGCCCAAACAGATTTTCTTGTCCATCCCTGCAGCTGAAGATGGAGTTGAGACAACTCAAACATCATGGACTGAGAGCGGGAGAAGTGTGGTTTCCAAGAGAAAAATCTGGATGCTATTAGTATAAGACGGGTAGATTGTAAGAATAGATGTCCACTATAGAGACTTTGGGAAGTCACTTTGCATCTCTGAATTTCTGCTTCTTCTCACACATGTAAACTCAAGGGCAGAAAGGAGTCTCATCAAGAACAGTAATCCAAACTGCTCTCACGGGATCCCAGCCTCTCATGCAGTGTCCCTCAGGTATTTCTTAGCATCCTCAGGAGGCATCCCCCACAGATTCACCAATAGGTCTCTTAGTGCCAGGTGCCATTGCTGCCACCAGGCACCGCATTCCCACCACAACCAAGGCTACAGTGCTCCTGACATCCCCAAGCTGTGTGTTGGGCTGCTGGTGTGACTTCTGGGCTAGAATCTGTTGGAGGGACACCATGGGGTGTGGCATTGGTCATGGAAACAGCTATTGTCATTGCCCCCTGGAAACAGCTCTTTTAGATTTTGTCTGTACCTTCTCTTTGCTCACCAGGGCTCAGACACTGTCCATGGAACCAGATGGGGATGGACACCACGCTGCCCACTCCACCTCCATTTCTGGTTGGTGGTCACACAAATTTATCAGATGAGCCAAGATAGGTCTGTGTCTCATTTTAGGCCCCAGCTGGGATGCCCACCACTCCAGAAAACCCACAAAACCAGACCAGCTACACCTACATTGATTATCACTTAAGTTGTGACAGTCAGTTGGGTCTGTTCTTATGGAAGAATGTCTAAGCTCTAAATGCTACACAGGGGGAAGCCTGGTTATCTGGACCTCAGCAAGGTATTGTCAGTTTCCAGGGGAATCTTCACCTCCTCCCCTTCTGCTTTGACCAGTATTCTCAACCTTGGTCACATATTAAAACCAATCAGGTGATATGACACCAAAAACACAGGCAACAAAAGAAAAAATAGATGGGGCCAGCCCCGTGGCCGAGTGGTTAAGTTCACGCACTCCGCTGCGGCGGCCCAGAGTTCGGATCCTGGGCACGGACATGGCACCACTCGTCAGGCCACGTTGAGGCGGCGTCCCACATCCCACAACTAGAGAGACCTGCATCTAAGATATGCAACTATGTACCAGGGGGGTTTGGGAAATAAAGCAGAAAAAAAAAAAAAGATCGGCAACAGTTGTTAGGCCAGGTGCCAATCCTTAAAAAGAAAAAAAAAAAAGGAAGATTGGCAACAGTTGTTAGGCCAGGTGCCAATCCTTAAAAAAAAAAAAAAAAGGAAGATTGGCAACAGTTGTTAGCCCAGGTGCCAATCTTTAAAAAAAAAAAAAAAGAATTCTTAAAAAAAAAGATAAATTTGACTTCATCAAAATTAAAAACTTTTGTACATCAAGGGACACTATCAAGAGAGTGAAAACACAGCCCACAGAATAGGAGAAAATATTTGCAAATTATATATCTTATAAGGGCTTAATATCCACAATATATAAAGAACACCTACAACTCAACAACAAAAAAACGACCTGACTGAAAAATGGGCAAAGGGCTTGAACAGACATTTCTCCAAAGAAGATACATAAATGGTCAATAAGCATAGGAAAAGATGCTCAATATCTTTAGCCATTAGGCAAATTCAAATCAAAACCACACTGAGCTACCACTTCACATCCATAAGAATGGCGATTATCAAAAAAATGGCAAGGATGCGAATAAATAGGAACCCTTGTGCATTACTGTTAGGAATATAAAATCAGGCAGTTGCCGTGGGAAACAGTTTGGTGGTTCCTCAAAATGTTAAGCAGAATTACAATATGATCCAGCAATTCCACTCTTAGGTATATACCTCCAAGAATTGAAAACAGGCGCTCAAACAGATGTTTGAACACGCATGTTCGTAGACGCATTATTCACAGTAGCTAGAATGTAGAAGCAACACAAGTGTCCACCAATAGATGAAAGGATAAAAAAAATGTAGTGCATACATACAATGGAATGTTATTCTCCCACAAAAAGGAAGGTGATTCTGACACATGCCATGACATGGATGAACCTTGAAGACGTTATGCAGTGAAATAAGCCAGTCACAAAGGACAAATACCATGTGATTCCACTTAGATGAGGTACCTAGATTGGCCACATTCACAGAGACAGAAGGTAGAGTGGTGGTCGCCAGGGGCTGGGGGGAGGGGGTGGGGAGTTATTAACAGTAATGGGGAGAGAGTGTCAGTTTGGGAGGATGAAAAGGTTCTGGAGATGATGGTGGTGCTGGTTGCACAGCGATGTGAATGTGCTTAACCTCACGGAACTGTGCACTTAAAAACGGTTAAAATGGTAAATTTTATGTTTTGTGTATTTTAATACAATGTTAAAAATCAGGAATTTCTAAAAATACCAATGTCCAGACCCATTCAGATCAATTCAGTCGGAGTCT